TTAATTGCTATAAGTGGTCTGTATAAGAAGACTGTGCAGCCAACAATAAATAATGCTTTTTTTGCATGTTTTGAAGTAAGGATGAGAGACTATTCATAATTCCTCTGATATAATTAATTCTTTATTCAAATTCCTCCCCAGTGTTTTTTTCTTTTTTTCTTCTTTCCAACAATGTATAAATTGTAGAGTAGACAGTTTGTAGGTAGGATGTGAGTGTCCTGGTTTGTATTATGCTGTGCAAGAGAACTGATTAAATTAGCATCCAAATTCCATTAAACAAGTACTAGTATTGTTCTAACATTTGGTTTCTGCAGTAAATTATTTTGGGGGCTGGATTTTATGGCTTCGGCATCTGAAGCGGGAGAATTGTGCAGAATATATGTTCCATTGTGGCTTCCAGACCACAATATACTAAAGAATTCTGATGAAAACAAACTGGGTCATGACAGAAAATGCCTTTCAGACTGTAGGGACTTTCAGTGCAGCTGAAAGCACAACTTTGAACATTAGATTTAAGCAAAAGTGTAAAAACAGCACTCTTCCCCTCCCCTTTCTCCCAATCTGCCCTGACTCTGAGTCAGGGGATACCTTGTTTTCGTTAGCTTTGTTCTTTTCCCCTTTTTCCTGCCTTCCACATCCCTGCTTAAAGAATTTGTTTTGCTGGAGGAAAATGAATCAGAGTACATATAAAATAGCACAGATGCAGTTTTCCATAACGTTGCTTTTCTGAACTCCATTCCGTGAACTTTTGACCGACTTAACATCTTGTAACGCTGATTGCCATACTACAAGTATTCATGGTGTACAGAAAATAAAAATTAACCCCATGCATGATTTTGATATATTATCCTCATTTCCTGTGTTACAAGAAAGAGTAAATAACTGTTTTTTGGTTACTTTCTCTGTACTAGGTATGAATTTTTACGCTTCTGTCTTGTACCCTTTTTTTCCAATCAGCTTCTCACTAGCCCTAGAGGTACTAGAATCTTTCCTTGTGCAAAAGTCTTTCATATTTCTGAGCATCCTCTTCACCTTACTGTACACCTCTTTATATTGTACTCTGTGCTATGTTCCTTTTCAAATGTATTTCTTTGTCAGAATTTCACACAGTTCTCAAGAAGCAGCAAGCTGTGGCTTAATGTTTTCCATTTTGTTTTTACTAACAACTATGAATACTTCTGGTCTCTTCTGACTGACACTGAGAAGTGTGCTGATGGTTTTCAAAAGACTGTCTACAGTGAGTCAAGATTGGGTTATTTTTATATATAAATATTTTGTATTTATATATATTTTTTCTCACAGATTGGAGATAAGTCTCTAAGTTAGCTGTCATTGTGTGTTTGCTCATGTGTGCTGATGTGTTGCTCCCATAATACAGAAACCTGTATTTTTTCAGCATGAATTTATTCCATCTTTATTATTCCACATGTCCACATGTGGAGTAACATTGCGCATATTCCAAATAGTTATTTACAAGGATTTCATGGTACTGTAACTTTCGGTAGTTTGTGCACCTGTGCAAAAAAATAATGTAACCAGATCACTTCTATAGTTTCCAGAAATAGAGGCCATGTGTGTGGAGATTGTATGAAAGATCTGATAAATGATGATGAAATGTTTGAGAGTATGGTTGGGGTCACATCATTCTTTCTTCTTCGGAAGTCATGTTCTTAGGAAAGTATTTTCCTCTCGGCAGGAAGCTTGACCTTTCTTCTGTCTTATTTCCTGTGGTCTCTTGGAAGATGGTTTCCATCACAGAACTTTAAGAAGGGTAAATTTTGTCTTCCAAGAAGCAAAATTTAAAGATCATCAGGGCTTTGGTGGAAGTGCTGCTGTTAGAGATTCATTGAATGATGAGCAGGAGGAAATGTTTTATAATTAGTTGGTGGTTGTGTGATAGGCAGAGCAGTTTTATGAAAAGATAAATTACTGTTAAAATGAAGTTAGGTTTCTCCATTGTGTGTTTAATATTTTTCAGTGTTATTTATGGTGAGGCAGACACCTAGCAGTACAGGATTTATATGGCATTATTAAAGGAAAAGATATCCTTTCCTGTAAAGCCAATGTACCCTGAGAACTGCGAACATGTACTAAAAGTATAAATTGCTCACTAAATCCTTCAAAATCCAGAAAGAAGTGGGTTGTTGACTTTGAGCCAGGGTTTCTCAACTGGATTTACTTAGAAATTGTGTACTGCTTTTATACAACTATAAATTTTAGTGAAGTTTGAAACAATGGAACTTAGTTTTTGTTTGTGAATGGTTAGACAGGTGGAAAGGGCTATCTGTTGATGCAAGCAGGGTAGTAGTTCATATGGCATAAATGAAATATAACATGCTTTCCCCCACCCCAGCTGTGAATGTTGCCACACTTGCTCAGTCATTCATCTTTGCCGACTCCCTGCTCTAAAACTCAGCACGCAGTGAGCTTGGCTGTTCTGGGGCCCTGTTGCATTCTTAAAGAAAACCAGAAACAAGATCTGAACGTGGTATAAATCCCACATTATAAATCCCGAATTTTCACCTCGAGCGCTGCATCCAAATCATAAAACTCGCCTAAAAGTTCTTTAGTTCCTTTACTCCGTTAACAATGTGACTTCTGGTGCACTAACTTTTATTTTTGGTTTGTTTTGCTTTTAAACCTTTGCCAGGACGGGAGCAGTTCCACGGCCTTGGCTCTATGTACTGCCGCGGAGCAGCTGCTGTGATCCTCACGTACGATGTAAACAGCCTCCAGAGCCTGACGGAGCTGGAAGACAGATTCTTGGCACTGACGGACACTGCAAGTGCTGACTGCATTTTTGCTATTGTTGGAAATAAAGTTGACCTCACTGATGACTGTGCTTTATCACCCGAAACGGAGGAGGAAAACAGACCCGAAAAGCCCCTTGCCAGTGGTGGCTCTACCAAGGTGCGAAAACAAGTCCGTGCAGAGGATGCAATTGCGCTCTATAAAAAGATACTGAAATACAAGATGCTGGATGAGAAGGATGTTCCAGCAGCTGAGAAAATGTGCTTTGAGACCAGTGCAAAAACAGGATATAAGGTGGACTACCTCTTTGAAACCGTCTTTGAGATGGTAGTACCAATAATTGTACGGCAGAAGGCTGAGGGGCCACAGCAAACTGTAGACATCACTGATTACAAACCAGCAAAAAGGACAAAATCTGGTTGCTGTGCCTGAACGACCTATTTAGGGAAAGGGAGGGACTGTTCTCTGTAGCGATCTGAAGAGCAAGAAGCGCTTAGATTTGCTAGAGAAGTTTAAAAAAATAAATGGACTAAAATGGTATATGAAAATAATAAATCTGCTGAACATTAAAGGTTTCTGGGAAACTCTAATTAGGAAAACGAGAATGAGTGGAAATTATGGAACAAGATTTGCCTGTTTCAAAGGGCTCTGAAGACACAATGCGTGTTGGTGCCATTGGTAGTGACAATCATTCGATCAGTCTTGCAGGAGTCGTCCTTTTAATGACGCGCCATTTAACGTTGCATGTAAACTATCTGTTTATGTATCGTATACTGCTTTCACATGACTATCACCTATCTCCTTGTGATCCTGACTTTGGAAAATTGAATACATGGTACTTTTTTATTCTCAAATGAAAAAAAGAAAATCCAGGTATAATTTATATTTGTAGCAAATAAAGAAATTACAGTCTTTTAATGTCAGCTATGACAGTGTAAGATTCAGAAGCTGTACTATTAAAATCACTGTGAACATGGACTATTCACATGGAGACTTTATTAACATGAGTTCAGCTTCTTTTGGGGGCTTTCATGTGTTACCAGGTACCATAAGGTATCTTGCTGCTTTAGGTTAAGTTGCAGGAGAAAGTTGTGGGTTTTTTTTTTTTTGTGTTTTTTTTTCTCCTCCTCTTTATATCATTTCATTTGTAGTTATTTTTTAATGTGGTTTGCAAAGTTTGTGGTTACACTTTATGTTGCCTTTTTTTTTCTTTTTTTTCATTTTTTTTCTTTTTTTTTCCAGATAACCTCTGACACCTCAATGATACCGAGATGTTTAGTACCCGTGTTCCTTCTCCCTGATAACCCGGCGGTTGCGCCCTGGCAAGGCCGCAGCTTGCACTTGGGTAGCTCTGTGTGACGCTGCGTAAGGGAAGTGAGCACTAGCATTTTCTGATGGGAGACAGGTTACTGCTGCAGGCAAGGGAAAAGGAACTGCCTTTTGTGCGCTAGGAAGGCGCACAGACGTGTGCAGTGTCTCTCCCTGCTGTAGGGAAGAGGATGGGTTAATACTGCTCCCACTGCTTCCTAGCCCTCTCGGCTACAAAGCAAACATATGCCGTAACCCAGGATCTGACAAAGACACATCATAACCACAGAGAAGCACTGTTGGTGAAGTGCAAGGAGGGGCAAATAAGAGAAAAAGGCCACTCATGTGTTTCCAGTTTTGCAAGTTTTTGAGGAGCAACTTGTGTGTCTTCCTCTGAATTCTTCTGGGATCCATTCCTAGAACTGAAGGGTTGGTTGCTTTTATATTTGGTCATTCCCTTTCTCTGTCCCACTCAACTTGTTCAGTGTGTTCAGAGACAATTTCCACTCAAACAGTGAATTAAATTATTACTGAGTGCACTTTAAACTTTTTTTTCCTACAATATATCCTATTGAGCAACTGGCTAAAGGTCAAAGCAGCTTTATTTTCCCCTTTCAACATTGTGTACAGCACCTGTTAAGCATGGTGAGGAGTAATGGCTCTTGAGAAAAAACTGCTGCCTGGAGGAGCGGTTCTTTTGTCTTTTGGATTTGCTAGGGGCCTGTAGTTCAGTGCCTCCCACTGTCAGATACACAAATGTACCTGCTTTATGGTGTTCAAAACCCAGCTGACTATAAACAAAACCCTCCTAGCTAGTAACAAAATCCCAAGGCCACGATCTAGCCTTTCATCAGGATTGGATAAAGGAAGAGAGGCTCCAAACCTCAGTCTTACTCATGACTAAAGCATTAGGCCAACATGTTTGTCACAAGTCCAGCACTGTGGCAACTGCCTGTGCAGGGCTCAGACGCTGCTGCTGTTCCTTGAGAAAGGTCTACATGTGGGGTAAGAGGGTTGTACAGCTCAGCCTGGGAAATTAAATAATACTTGGAAGTTATTAGTGAATGATGAGGAGGAAATCTGGTCTGTTAAAGGTGCATGTTGGCTCCATTTCTTTACTATTATTCCAAGTCAGATTGTGCCTTCAAGTAAAACCTGAAGATTTCTGGAGTTCAATATAGGAAAGGTAAATATATTTTTAAGTAGTTTAAGCTCTGCTTCAGCGGAGCTCCATTTTACAACACTGAGGTGATGCCGTATCTGCTGTAGTCATGCCTATGCTATCTGCAAACATGCTTAGTCCAGTTCACTTGGAGGTGCACAATTATTATTACTTTTTTTCCTGTCTTGTGGTAAGTGGTGCTGTTTTTTTTTTTTGAGGAAATATTGCTTTTTTTTTTTTTAGGTAGTATTAAAATCTGGTCTAGTCCTGTTTATGGAATCAAACCGTTTAGGTTATTTAGCTCTTTTAGCACTACTTCATTCATTCCCCTGCTGCTTATGCAGCTGTATCCTGATATTGCAGGACTGCTAAAGACAATTTTTCCTCAATACTACACAATTCTATTAGAAAAATTCTGCTTTGTTTACTGAAGTTGCAGCACAGGAACTTGGAGCTGAGAAAATGGCACTAAGACATACTTCTTGGAGAGAGCCTTAATCACACAAAATCACACAGAAGGGTTAAGGTTGGAAGGGAATTCTAGAGATCACCTAGTCCAACCCCCCTGCTTAAGCAGGGACACCTAGAGCACGTGGCACAGGGTGGCATCCAGGTGAGTTTTGAAGATCTCCAGAGAAGGAGGCTCTCTGGGCAGCCTGTTCCAGGGCTCTGTCACCCTCACAGTAAAGAAGTTCTTTCTCACACGGAGGTGGAACTTCCTGTGCTCCAACTTGTACCTATTACCTTGTCTTGTCTCTGGCTACTACCGAGAAGAGTTTGGCCCCATCCTCTTTACACTTTCCCCTCAGGGGATTAGATTCCCTCTCAATCTTCCCTTCTGCAGACTAAACAGGCCCTGCTCGCTTACTCTTCCCTCATACGATAGATGCTCCAGTCCCTTAATCATCTTCGTGGCTTGATGCTGGTCCCTCTCTAGAAGCTCAATGTCCTTCTTGTACTGGGGAGCCCAGAACTGCACACAATACTCCAGGTGCGGCCTCACCAGCGCTGAGTAGAGGGGCAGGATCACCTCCCTCAACCTGCTGGCAAGACTAAATCTTAAGCGAACAGTTAATGTACTTGCTTTTGACTAGCAATGTGCCATCCAATAGGATACCCTAGGCTTGGCCTGTAGTAAGCTGGGCCAGAACTACGCTCATTTTAAATGCTAGAACCTGAGCTAACAGTCTTTTTGCCAAGTGTTTTGGGGGAACAACAAATACCTTGAGTGAATTATGTTTGTGAAGATTGTTTATAAAAGTTACTGTTTCAAAGGATGAGCTGGAGAAAAGTCAAGCGATACTGGAGAACTACTGCTCTTCTATGGTGTGTGGGGGTGTGTGTGTGTGGCTTATCGTTATTAGTGCAAAGAACTTGGGGATGCTACTGGCACAGGGACCGCTGCACATGTAAAATCCATCGTGGGATCAGTAAGGGCTGAATTTTGGGTGTTCCTGGGAGGCTGAGAGAGGAGACAGACTCCGAGCATGGCAGAGTTGTTCAGTCATTTGTTTTGGTGTCATTGCGCTCTCACGTCTTGCGCTCGCGTTTGGTGGAAAACCCCATTGTCTGCACTACTTCCCCTGTGGTGCTACCCTCCCTGCCTGCGGGTGTTGGGCTCTGTGATGTATTTGCTCCTTTGGGGGCTGTCCTTGCAAGGAGACAGGCACCTCAGCCCGCAGCCTCCAGCAATGCCCTACACCGCTGCTGCTGACGCTGGCGCCGCCTGAGGCGGCATCGGCTGGGCCGCAGTGTGGCTTGCGCTCCGCATCCCTGGCGCCTAAGGCTTCCGCCGCTGCTTCAAGTTTTGGGAGATTGTGTTTCCCACTGGGAAAGAGCCACCTGCCTGGCATCATTACTGCGTGGGGGCAGTTGGACCAGAGGGCGTCCATAGGCCTTCTCTAACCACTGATATCCAGTGATTTTAAGATGGTTTCCTGCCCAATGCAGGGGACCCATCAGTACTCAAGCAACGATCCCCTCTGGCCATTTAACTTCCCAAGAGGAGGTGCTTTGGAGATGTGAAGCTGTGGCTACAAAGTGATTTGAATTAGTGCTCCTCAGTGCTTTGCAGGGTGCTCAAGGTTAGCTCCCAGGGTGAAATCCTCTGGCTGTTTGAGGTAGTCTGTGGGTTTTTGCGGTAGCTCCCTCCCTTTAAAAAAAAATTAAAAGTGATTATACGTGCCTTGGAGAGAAGGACACAGAACTGAAGTACATGACGTGCAAAAATGAAGCACAAAAGTTCAAGTCGGCATGACACCATTACTATTTTTTTTCCCCATTCCCTGGGCTATGTGCCTGACTGCTTAACTCCTATGCTGCACTGACCCTGTGCTGAACAAACTTGTTAGGAACAGATTATGTGAGGACAGAGAAAAATAAGGTGTAAAGCAACTCTCAGACCCCTTACACGCAGAAAAATTAACTGCGTGGAAAGTTTAGGCAACATATTAGCAAATGAAATCCACTTAACTAGCTCTAGTTCCTTAAAGTTTCCTTAAAGTATTTACTGGGCTGAGTTGCCTAGTAGAAGGGAATGTTGTAAGAGTCTTAAGTGATGAATGTTTGATCATCCCACAATCATCAATGTCCAGCAAGACCTGGAAGAGGTAGATTGATGACTCTAGGGCACTTGTTACTAGCACGTGTAATTTAAAGTGATGGGCAAATATGGGACAGCTTTGGCTAATACTGCCTCTAATATGTTTCCAATTCTGAGCATAATTCACCTTAAAGTGCCGCATGCCAGTTTTTCCTAACAACAGATGAAATACTATCTTAGTAGTTCAGTTTAAACATGCAATTCTAGAAACATAACTTCCCTTTTAGATCTTTTGTTAATGTCATGGGGAAAGCAAATGTATAGCTGCTTCAGTTGGAGATGGGTTTTGGAGTTTGTTTTTTCTGCCTTAGGGGCAAGTAAAATAATTCAAAAAAGTAATTGTTATGTATTTGATAGGAAAGAAAAAAAGGCACTGTTTACAAAATAGAAATCATCAACAAATAGAGGTGTAGAAAAAAACAAATTTTTATTTATGATACAGGGAAGATGGAATGTAATTACAAAAGCCAGTAGACACCAGAAGCAGGAGAGAGGTAACTGCTGAAAAAAATACCACCGTTTTTAAAGTCTCTTCAAGTTTGGTTTCAAGTGTTCAGGTATATATAACCAGACTACCTGAATAAGGAAGCAAACGAGTGGTTTGAAGTTGATTATTTTCCCTCTCTGGCAGCAGTGACAGGCAACTTTCCTTCTTTTCATAGAAGGAAAGAGCAGCTTTTCTGGTGATTTAGTGTGGTGTGCAGTAGCACGGTTCTCTATAGGAAAAGATGGTATCGAGCAGATACCTGCTTCCTTCGCCCTGGGTGTACGCTGATCGTACTGCCACTGTCCTCAGCCACCAGGACTACATGCCTACTACAGGCAGCTGGCAGGCCGGAAAGGTCTGGGTTTGAAGATAATTTAGCATTGAGCAATACCCCCTCCTTGAAAACTTACCCTATGTGCGATAGCTGTTTCAGTAGCACACAGTTAACAGCTGTCTGAGTGGCTTCGGTTCAGAGGAGAAAAGCTGTGCTGCGAAAAATACTCAGTGTTGATGCTGTGTGCATAGTGTGACAAGAACAAACGTTCACAACAGAACAGGAGTGCAGGAGAGCATTTTAGTGACCCTTTGGCCTGGGATATATCTAGAAAAATCCATATCAGGCTTGTAAAATAACATGCTGATTTTCATCATAAAGTCTATCAAAGGAGGAGAATCACTGCATTTAGTGGTTGCTATTTTTGGAACACCTGTGAGCTTTTCTGCTATTACCAATGCTAAGAAGATAACAGGGGGTGAGGCTTGAAAAAACAAATACAGTAAAAAGGTTATTGCTTTGAGTTTGTTTGAGATGGCCACATATAAAATACTGACATCAAAGTTAGATTTTAATGCTGGACACAAGCCTTCTCCTGGGTTTACGTTCAGTGTTTTGCAAGGATTTAACACTTGTTTTGATCACCATACGTTAACTGAGCGAAATACAGCTGTTAGTGTTTACTGTTGTGACGAATACAATTAATAGAATAGATACATATATTCTCTTAAAGTAAATGCAGTGGGTAGCTGACCAAGGTAACCATTTATTACTGAAAGTTTTTTGGTGTTTCAAAGCTGGGAGTATTTTTATCAGTTGGCAAATGACATCATGTTAGAGAAGCAAAAAATATATATATCATAGTAGTAGAATAACACAGCACTACGTATGTGTGTTATACTCAATTTGTGTTGCACCTAGGGATGAGGTAATAAGTTAAAAAAGCACCACATGATTTATTCAAATGTCTAAACATCATAGAAGGGTTCACCGTATAAGAACCGCGGTATAAGCAGGTTCCTCATACTATGAAGGACTTCTATAAATTTTTCATACAGACTTGACATCTGCTGATATGGCTTCGGATGAGTCCTGCCTTGAGTGTATCTGCTGAGGGCTTGCTTTGGAACGGCTGGTCAATCGTAGTGAGCCAGAAGCTGTATTTATTTGCAAAGTAGTGACATGTCCCACGTGCGCCATTGCATTCGATGAAAGGAGTAGCCCTGAAGTCTTCCAGGCAGCTCCCGGGAGACACCAGCGACTGTCCTCCGCCTTCATCGCCAGCCGCCGTGTGCTGAGGGAGACAAGGAGGGCGGCAGTCAGAGCGTAGCCTTGGGCACTGTTGTCAAAAACTTGCCCGTGGGGAAAGGGAAAAAAGGAGTAGAACTGCTCCTGCTTCTCATCTCCAAAAGCTCAGGAGCAGAGAGAGGGCCAATCAGCTGCCAAGGTAAAAATTTAAGGGTTTGGCTGTACTTTAACTATGCAAAGGACCGATTTCATATGGTGATGTCTCTTTGAACTCTTCTGACAAACATCTTAAGATTGTCACTGTTAGAAGTAGTTGGAATCAGAGACTAATTTAGGTTAGAAGGACCCTCTGGAGGTCATTTCAGCCAATCCCCTGCTCCAGGAGGAGTTAACCTTAAAATTGCACTAAGTTGCTCCAAGGGTCTGTCAAGTTGTAAAGAGTTGCAAGGATGGAGATCCCGCAACCTCTCAGAGCCAATTGTGCTTGTGTTTGATTACCCTCACTGAGAAGAATACTTTTCCCCATATACTTAACAGGAATGGACTATCTTTATACTATCTTTAATACTCTGCATCACAGATGAACAGCACAGTGGGGAAAAATAGCCTCTATTCTAATAAACAATCCTCTCTATGGCACATTCATTACCAGCAAATTAAACTCAAATTACGCTTCTTTAAACCACTCAACTCTTACCTTTAACGTGCACTGGGTTAATAAGCTGAATTTTAATTAATTTGTTTTATCCAAGGCATCTCTAAAAAAACAGTTTCTGTACAAGAACCATATAGCTGCATTTTTGAATGAAACCATTTAATGTCCGATTAAAAACTGAGGGAATTAGAGATATATATGTAAAGAAACCTGACAATAAAGTTGATCAATAGTTTTTGCAAACGTAGGGACAAATCTCCTGGGCACATTCAGTATGTTTTGCTGCCTCTGTTTTAACAAACACCATATAATTGCTTGTGTATGAACAAAGATGTACACCTTAACTGCTTGGCTTAGCTGCACAGGCCTACTATGCTCATAAAAATGTGTGACAGAGGTGTCCATGTTTTAATAGCAGAATGGACTTTAATCTTTGGCTGGTGTGACGTGTGCCTGAGGTCTAAGGTGTTTCCTGTTCTGTTTGTTTTTGTTTGTTGTTTTTTTTTCCCTTTTTAGCCCAGTGACGAACATCAGCTGTCTTGCAAAATCTCAAGATGATGCCAAACTGAAAGGCTGCCGTGCTAAGCTGTGAAGTTCAGAAGCCAGCCTATTCTCTTGTCTCTCTGGAAGAGCAAAGCTTGTAAGAACATGGGATAAACTATTAGTAGCTTTGACACTTCTGCAGTGGGAGCTGGAGAGTCCTGTGCTGCTTGAGCACAGGCTTGGGAGCAGGTCTGCTCGACTACTCCTATGCTCACTGTACAGTTTCCTACTGTCATTTCTGCAGTACTTATTCTTCTAATGGCCAGGGCTTTTTTTTTTTCTGCAAGTCCTATGCCACCCCTACCTTTTAAGGACACATTATAATGAAATGCCCTCCCTACATGAAAATTTTCTGGTCTAGCAGGGCTGCTTGGGCAAGGACCCATGACTCCTCCCATCATGACTGGGCCTTACCCCAGGGAAGGAGGTGACAAATTTCAGCCAAGGAAGCAAAACAATATGTATTCTGAGATAACCAGGAGTGGGTGTAATTTTCCTTTGGTGGTTGCACAAGAAGGAAAAATTTCGCAAAGTGTGTACAGCAAACACTCCACTTGCTTTGAGCACTAGCTGAGAAAAATGGGGAAATTTATCTTCTGAACTTCTTCCCAGTGTTATGTTCCTTGGTACTGGCAGACTTTGTCCTAGCAAGCAATTCTTGTCAAGGTGACAACTTTGCCCTTAACAATGCCTGCTATTTACACAGGGCTTCACAAATGTTTGGTTACTCCACAAGCATTCCAAGCATTAATTCTGAGATTGGTATCAGATGTGTTTTACAGGAGCTAAAGAAATGTCAAGTGTAGGGCTGGTCAAAAATTTTATCTGCCTTTTCTCTAAAGTTGTTTCCTGTAACTAGCTGAAAAATATCAGCTTGCTTTTTACTTTTATTTCTGAAAAATTAAAACTTTTGCAAAATAAATGATTCATGGGAGAGGCTGACTGAAGTTTTTCTGCGATGTTTTCTGCCAGAGAAATCCTTTTCTTTCCTCCAACTTTGTTTACTTGGGCATTCAGTCCAATGTTTATTGAGTTTCTAGGACAGGTCTACAGCAAGTCAGCCAAGTGAGTGTCTGTCAGATCATTCACGTGAACATATTCTAGCTGCTATTATTTACTATGTTACTTCTTTTGGGTGCCTATGTGATCCTTCTGTACAGTCTAGATCCCACAGGTAACAGTTTGGAGTTTAAATGGGCAAGAAAAGCAGGAGGGGGCCCTTGATTGGGTCTCCTAGGGCACATCTACTGCAAAGCTATCCCATAAGATGCCATTTCCTAGTTAAAAAATTGCAAGATTATATGAGATTATCTGAACAATAGGGTGTATGCAGCTCCTGCCTACAAAAACAAGGAAACTCTCTAGACTAGGTGAAACATTTTAGCTTCTAACTCCTCTACCAAACATCACTGATTTTGAGTTGCCAAAAGAAAGGGGAAGGGTTTGTGTGTTTGTTTTGTTTTTCTAGGTCAGTGTCTTCCTGGTGATACCTATCAGTAACTCCCACTTTTTCTCTAGATGAGAAAAATCTTTGGAGGCTAATATTGCACCTCAGTGCACATTTATTTGCTTGTCCATGGCTGTCCCCTGTGTTCTGCCCTCATACACAATTCTGTCTATGAAGTGAGGACTCCAGAGGCTGTTCTAATATAGGCAACCAAGTTTGTGAAACTCCGATTCACAAAATTTTGTTTCTCATCTGCTTCCTAGAAACTAGCTTTGCGGTCCTGCTTCCTCAGGACACTGCACAGTTTTGGTGTTACTGCACCTAAAACAGAACAGATTTGTTAGTATCTAAGGCCCAAACATAAAGCTCAGTGCTGCACGACGTTAGTTGGAGGACAAGTACCATAAGGAAGGAGTATCCAATCCACAGGCTGCGCCAGCCTTCAGGGCAGCGGGGTATGGAAGCTTCTTGGCTGTGGACAGCAATGGCCACGGCGGGGGCCTCACAAACGGAGCAGCGACTGATATATGGTTTAATTTCTTCTTCTGCCACAGGCATCATTGGAAGAGGCGCTGTAGTTGAGAGCCAGTAGGATTTATCATTTCGATTCGCATAATAACAAACATCTCCGGGGTTACAGTAGAGGAAGGGCATAGTACTAAAACGAGCCAAACATGAGCCAGCCAGCCCTGTTTAAAGAAGAAAAAATAAAGAAGATATAGGTATCCATTCTCACAGAGGATGATGCACGTTTTCTGTTTCTTACACCTTCATAAACATGTGTTAGTAAAACCCCATGTGCGGTAATGTTTCCCTATTTTTATCGTTCCCCTCAAACAGCCCTAATGACTTGCAGGATCTCTCCCAGGGGCACTATATGCAAGCATACACTTTTTATCTTATTTTGGGGCTAGCTAAGCCTATCTTTTTTTTTTTTTTTTTAATCCACTCAAAGGATATGGAACAGAGACATCAGCTGATGCCAGCAGGGAAACGTCGACATACCTAGGTCCTGGTTGTGTGCTTTCTCTTGTCCCTCGAAGTACAGCAGGCTGTAGCCACTCCAGAGCTTGTTCATCCCGATGGGGCACATGGGCTCCTGCTCAGACTGGCTGTGCTTCACCAGCAGGTAGCCAATGCTCACACTGCGCCCTGGCATGCCCGGCAGCCCGGGGCTCCCGGGGCGGCCTGGCTGGCCTGAGGGGAGCAGAAGAAATAAGGCACCTCACTTCAGGATCCCACAAATGCCCTGATGTTTCAGCTAAGCTGCCTATAAACAGAGCTCACTTGCAAGACAAGATCTTCTTACAGCAAATTACTATTAAAACAGCCGCAGCTGTAGGATCAAAGACATTGATCATGAAGCTGATGGGTGCTGGATCAGGCTCTCTGGTTTCTGAATGACATACCTCACTGTCAGAGACAGGGAAAGTCACAGATAAGGTTCTGATGAATTTTATCATTCCTCGTACAATACAGAGGAAGATATTTTTTCCTTAAAAGCATTTTACTCATTCAGGATTAACTGATGCTTTGAGTTTCTTGTATTTGCTTCATAGAGTTAAAACTGCTTTGCAAATACCCTTTTTTCCTCTGTGTGCTTTAGCTAGTTAAGATGGTAATGTTCCTGCTCTTTGACTGAATAAGCACACAGATATTTCTTTTATATGTTCCCTTAAACATTACCTATTACCTATTGAGGCATTTATTTACATGAGAGTAACTGCTAGTGAAACTCGAGGCTGAAGTAATTAGAGGCAACAAATACAAATATAGATCAGAACAAACTTATTCAATGTGAATGCACTGAGCTCTACTTTAAACAAAACTTACTCTGAACACTTTGGTTTAAACTACCTCCCTAAAAGGTTGGCCAGTGGTACCTTGTGGGAGAGCTGTGAAGACATGAACTTCCTGGTCCTTTCTGTCCCTCCTGGCCAGTGACACGGTAGCTACAGGACCATTCATGGCAGTGAAAAGGGAAAGGGAGAAGAAGTGCTTGGGAGACATGACTCACCTTCGAATCCCACGGGGCCTTGTTCCCCTGTGGCTCCTTGTTCCCCTCGGAAGCCGGGAGGAGCAGGGACGCCGCCGCGGCCCTGGGGTCCTGGGTTCCCTGGGGTGCCCCTGAAACCTGCCATCGAACAGGGGCAGTGAGCACAGTGCCTGCAGCGCCAGACACACGCCAGCCACCTCACACTGCTCTGCTCGCGTGGGCCCAGCCCTCCCTGCCAGGTTCACTAGTTTACACTGAAAGAAACATCCTATGGTTCTTGCTCAAGCAAAGAGCACCGACTTCACTGGAAAATGCCACGGTGATCAAGAGCCACAGCTCTGGGCTTGCACAGCTCTCGGCAGCACCCATCCCTGATGAGGCCGGGAGGCCTGGTGAGGTGCCTCAGCTGGGCGCATCCCTGACCACGTTACCGCTGAAGCAGCCTCTTGGGGATGCACCCACTTCCATCAGAGACTTTTGGTCCAGAATTAAATAAGACCCTTGTTTGATGTTGCTTGGGTTATGTGAGTGTTGCCTGAGCTTTCTCCTGTCTTGGTTACAGTCTGAATGACAGGACAAAGAGAAGGAAAACCAATCCCCTAATTTTGAAAGACACAAATTTGACTCTTTCTGGCTTGCATTAGAGAGAACCAAAGGTGCTCTGATGGCCTCATTGTTCTAAGGGGAACAGAGCTTTCCTAGGAGTGTGTGACTCCTACCTGGGTCGCCTGGTGGGCCCTGAGGTCCCATGTCTCCTGGGCTTCCTTGGGGCCCTATATTTCCACGGGGGCCTGGTGAACCATGCTCAGCAACCAACCTTGGAGGAAGTGGAGGCAGGCCAGGAGAGCCTGGGGGCCCCTGAAAGCCTGTGATAGGAGGCAAGAGGAGACAGTTTGAAAAAAAAAAAACAAAAAACAAAAAAAAAAACAAAAAACCTTGGTGTGCTTTCATCCACAGACTTGCAAATATGAAAAAAGGATGATTGTCTGTAATACACCATCTTGGGTAGAGCAGCTATATTTACTGCACTGGAGGAATGTGTGTGAAGATGGGGTGTGTCTTTTCTTAGACAGCATAAAGATAAGCAAAAAAAAATCAGTGATACTACTGCTCACTTGGATAAGGCATAGGAAGTTGTGACATTCCCCCAAAACAACCAACAGCACCTGGAGGTGCAGCGTCACCTTTCAGTGAGCTTCTGGAGACATATAAGTAAATGACAGTTGCTATAAAGGGAGAGAGAGGGATTTTTTAATATTTCTAAATATGCAGTAGGCTTAGTCTGCAGGTATAGCATGGGTGTTAATTTAAATCACAAGTGTTTCCTTTCTACCTTCCCCCTCCAAAAATGGCTCTGAATTTGAAGCTGGCACCTTGCACAAAATGAATTTAATTGAGGCAAAGAGTAAATTACACGTTAAATTCAGGTACTTGTTGAAGGAATTTCCCAGGGCTCACAGATAATCTTGTAGGTTAGAAGAGACTCCGGAGGACATCTAGCCCAACCTCCTGCTGAAAGCAGGGCTAATCATATCAGCTCTGTGTAGCTGCAAAAGTTTGGAAAGAGCCAAGCATCTGACTGTCTTTACTCACCAGTTAGTCCTCTATCCCCTTTGGGCCCGATGGGTCCCAAATCGCCTGGAAATCCTACTGTGCCCATAAAGCCGATGACACCTTGCTCACCCTTACGACCTGTAATGCAAAATGACATATGGCATTATTGCATTTCAGTGCAGATCATGTGAATTCAAGACTTGTGCTATTAAATCTGTGGTAGCACAGAATGACTGCAGATGACCAGCCTTCCCCATCCTCACCTTTTGGTCCTGGGTAGCCTGGAGCTCCTGGTCTCCCTGCTGGTCCAGGATCACCTCTGCTTCCTTTTGGGCCACTTTGTCCACTCACACCTTCTTGTCCACTTTCTCCTTTGCTTCCAGGTGGAGCTGGTATCCCGGGCTGCCCCTGTAGTCCTGGGTAGCCTGTTTAGAGCACATTGGGTTTGTAATCTGATTATACTGTCTTAAGACCTGGACAAGGGAGAACTAACAATGCTATTGAATTATACCCTATTAGATTTTATTTCCTTAATTTAAGCAGAGAGCTAATGCCTAGTGACCCAGTAGACTCATTCAGCATTCCTATTCCTCCTGCTATTAACCTCGCATGCCCGTCTGCTGCCGTGGCAGAGGAATGAGGCCTAAATCCTCTGGCTCATGGTGTCTTCTACAGCCAGACTCGAGCAGAACTGAGGTGCTCGCTGAGATACGGCCTCTCGTGAACTCCCCTTCTTCAGCAAATGCCCTGATTCTCTAAGTAAGTGCCCCGCTACAGGGTCCTAAATTTTCCAAGGAACTGGAGAGAAACTGGACAGCACCATCTGAGATTTTTAAAGTATTAAGTTACCATAACACTTCTGAAAGTTGTTAGAACAAAATGGATCATTAAATCTGTTATTTGAATGTAAATCAACCCCTTTCAAGACATCTTGGACGAACTGCCTTTTGCATTGGATAGTTTTATTCCTATTTTATATGCCGAGAGTTTTCTCTAAAGCTTATTCATGGAGTATTGAGACAGCTACTTCCGTGTTGCTTTTAAGAGAGGTGCTTTACTGAACCAAGGCCCCAATCACAATGACTGCTGTTGCTAGCACTGTGCTTAACCTTCTGTTGTTGTCTGAGGGTGCAAGGCATGAATTACCTGGCACTCCGTTGAGACCTGGAGAACCTTTATCACCAGGATATCCTGATATGTTTGAAATCCCAGGAAGCCCTGGAAATCCAACGTCCCCTGAAATGCCAAAGGATCCTTGGATTCCTGAAAAGAAAAGAATAAACACTCAACATTGAAGAGAAAATGCACAACTGCAATTATATCGACTCACTTTGTGCTAAATATGTTGAATAGGATTTTCAAAATGGAAAATACCTGCAGCTCCCACTGATTTTTTTTTTTTTTCAGACTATGTTGTACAGGATTTTTATTAAAAAAAAAAAAGTCTTGCTCCAAAGCTCTATGAATAGTTAATTACATCTCACTGCGGTAATAATCTTGTGCCTCCAGGTAAAATATTTTTTCAAGATAAAAAGTATTCTCAAAATACACTAGCTGTATGAAGCAGAAGTCAAAGCAGCTTTGTACTTCTCTGTCCTACGGCGTCAGGGATCAGAGACCCTTAGGCGTTTTTTTAGTTCAACTAAAAAAGATAATCTGAAACCATGGAAATTGTCCCTAAATGGAAATTGTTAATCAGGCCACCAATGACAAATTATCCTTTTGAATGTAAGATAGATGCAAGTTGTCAGGAAACCACAAAATCCCTTTTGGATAGTCAATATTTCAATAAAAAATTATAAATATTTAATCCTGACAAACAAACATGAGTGAAATAAGCTAAACAGTTTCTTTTTCTAAGACTTGGCAGTAAATTTGGAGTGGTGTTTCAGAAGAGACAGCATGTTGGTAGTAACAAAGCATTACACAAATAAACAGGAATAAGCCACAGAGGAAAGCACGCAGGGGCAGTACGTTTTCATGCATTTGCCAATCCTTATTCCTTTCAGAGACAGATGTTGGAAATCTGTTTTTCCTTTAAAAATTCCCATCAGTTGATTCATCCACAATGTCACCCTGCTGACTCTCTCCCTGATGGGAGAAGAGGCTATAGAGCTGTCTGTACCATGGTGCGTTTCCTGATGCTTTGCACACCTGCAACTGAAACGAGACATCAGTAAACCCCAATCTCCAGTGCACGAACCTGGGACACCTCTGTCTCCCTTTTGGCCTGGAGGTCCCTGGCCACCTTCCACTCTGCTTGGTTCTCCTGCTTCTCCCTTGTCGCCAATGATACCCGGGAAGCCCGCAGTGCCGTAGTCATCCGGACCTGTTGTGGAGTGGTTTACAATTAAGCAAAAAGCTGAAGTGTTCTGGGTGTGATAATATCTCAGCTTGCCAAAGCACATGTACAGAGCATGCTGTTTTACAAAAGACATATGTCTGTAATGGAAAAAAAAAAGGTAATAGTCTTAATGCTTTCACTTTATAAGAGCATGGGAAATCCGATTTGAAGTTGTAGTCTAAGTCATCTGTGCTGCAGCATGTAAAACATACTTAGTTGTTTGACAGGTCCCACAAATACGAGGCAAGTTCCACCAGGTCTGACAGTTACACTGCATTTTGCACTGGCACAGTGGAGAATGCCACGTTGCAAAGATATCACACATCAAACTTGCAGATTAACAGTCAACAAGTGCCTGTAAACAGGCTGAAAAAAATTCTCACTCACCTGGTGATCCGGGTAAGCCCTTAGTACCTGGCAAACCATGTAATCCACTGATTCCTCTTAAGCCAGGTAAACCTGTTCAAACATTACACACAAGATTAGTTTAATAGTTTGTATTCTTTGTATAGTGTACTTTGGCAAAGAAAAAAAAAGTGCAAATGAATTCATTACAAGAAGCTCCACTAAGCAAATACACTCGCTCCATATTTTTCGACTGGCAAATTTTAGTGCTATCTAATAAACCATGATTTTTTGTTTTTTAAATCTCTGATCTATCTGGTAACAATCCATTACTATCCCTAAAAATCCCTGGAGTTTTAGGGTACTCATCAGTCTTACTCTTGCTACCACAATTTTGTTAATATCATAGTTTTTCAAAATCCTCAAAACAAGACAATTATGGCATAACTGTACACTCTTAAATGTGATTATAATGAACCTCTCTTCAGAAGAAATTCACTGTGTCAGTTTAAAAAAAAAGACTAACAAAATGTCACTAACAGTGGCAGCTGTTGCTGCTATTACAAATACAATTTGTACATGTCTCAGAGTTAAGCAAGATGTTTAAACTAGATGTTTAAACTATCTGTCTAATCACTGGACAGAGCTACATAGCTCTGGGGGACAATTCAGTCTTCACAAACACAGGTGTCTGTCCAGCTTTCGTGACCACATTAGTTTAGATTTTGTGATGATTCAGACAGCTGAAACTCACTAAAAACAGGGCAATTTCTGGTTATCTTGTAGACAAAGATCTGCTTAATTTCAGGTATTAAGGGATCGAACCAAAGAGATTTTGTAATCTGTGATATAAGTAGTTTCATTTTCAAATATTGCCTATATTTTGACAGCAGAATTCTGTCTGAGTTACAAGTCACTTATCTTTCCAACTATACATGTTGGAAAAAGAGCTACTCCTTTTGGTGATGATGAGGATGATTACACTGTTTGCTACCTAATGCCACAGTCTAATATTCTAATATTGTATATCACTACTCTTACTGCATTTAAAATAATTTTCTGTTATCTTTGTGTTTTTTTTTCTTTGTTTCAGCTGCTACAAAAAAATGAAAATATTTACTAGAAATTACTTTCTTGGTGAGAAGTCACAATCACTTAATGTGAACCGCCAGCTTGGATGTTAACACTGCAGCCCTTTGGAGCACATAAATGTCACTGCGGCAGGTCTTTAATGCACCTGAGCTTCCCGTGTGGTGAGTGCTCATCACAGGCAGCCACGCCACCCTGACCTGTAAAACGTCCCCTTTCTTCTCCTTCACCCCGACAGGAACCGCAGCGCGAGCTCACAGTGAGGTGACCGAGTGACTAGAGCGGTGCTGGTACCCGCTTGTCCAGGCAAGCCGGGCCAGCCAGGAGTTCCCTTGACACCTTGCGAGCCGGGAGTCCCAGGGCTTCCTTGCTGTCCTGGTGGGCCCACCAGTCCTGGGAAACCTGCACAGCAATTATAAAACATCGCTCATGAGTATCCCTGACAGCCCAAAGTGCTGACATGTGCTGCCGTTCTCACAGGTAGTGAAATGTAGGCTTTTGACCCCAAAGGTTTTGAATGAAATGACACCATTCATCCAAATGCAACAAAACTCAGGAAATAAAAGATAGGAGGGCCAAGGTAAGGTTAAAAACAGTTGATTGCAAATTTGTTTCTCTGACAACTTGAGAAATATAGTGAGCTTCTGTTATTAAAATGGTATTTTTTACGTCATTCATATTATAAAAGAGCACTGAAATGCCCACTTCCCGTTGTACTGAGATAACCCTAGAGTACTTGAGTATGCCAGCAATACGGCGTTTGGACTAGACACATGATCACCCTGAAAAAGGAAAAAACAGACTGATCAGGGGTTATCTTTTCAAATTTCCTGCTAGTAAGTTCTCTTGGGAGCTCCGCAACATTTTTACTACTCCTTACCCATTTACAGAATGACCAATATTTTAAAAACTTAATGACCTTCTTTGGAGGGAAGACAGTTTTTTCTTTCTTTTTCGTCTTAAACAGTTTTATTCTTAGGAGTGTTAAAAGGAAGAATATTTTACCTTCTGGTCCCACGGAGCCAGGGATACCCTGAGTGCCCTTGAGGCCTTCAATTCCAGGGAAACCGGGATCGCCCCCTTCACCTTTTTGTCCTATGCCTCCTCTTAAGCCTGCAACAAAATATAAACCATATATCCTCTCAATAATTTCTGTATGCCCCTAAACTAACAAGCATAACATCAGTTCTCTGCTAAATGGGTCCTGGTCTTGCTAGGCAAAGACATTCTTCTCAGTCAGTGCAATTCTATAGCCTGGGAGAACAAATAACCTTCCACAGCATGTTAGCCAATTTGTCATATATCTATATTTTTTTAAGATCCTCCTCATGTCATGTGGAAAATGGCAATGTTGTTTAAGTGTCCTGACTGTGCAGGAGTAGCTCCAATTTTAATACACTACCTAACCAATCCAATCTGAAAGCAACCTGACCTGACCATCCTTTCTTACATAATTATGGCTTGATATTGCTCCTTTTGTCATCAATGGCAAAACATATATAAACGTTTTCCTAGAGTTGCCTGTGATTGATGGTTACTGCCATACCTACATTTTCCATTTAAGAGGTAAACATAGCATATATTAATTTCACTAAAGAAAAGATACACCTCTTCAGGAGCTGTCATGAGGACATAGCTTCTGCAGCCATGAAAAGCAAATGCTAAACCCTCTGTCTTTGCCTTTGTGTACTACTATATTTGAAAATAATATATCCAGAGTAACTGCAATTAATACCTGTTAAACCTGGCACACCAACTTCCCCTTTAAGTCCTGGCATTTCTGGTAAATTTATGGTTTCTCCTGGCTCACCTATTTCAAGGAAAAATAATGAATCAGTGGTAAAGCTTTCATTCAGTTAAATAATTCCTATGATTTTGAATAAGTTGCAGAATTCAAGACAAAGTTCACAAACCATTATCTTTCTAGAAAAAAAAAGTGATAAAATCAAAAAAGAGGGAGAAATTAAGAGAGGAAAACATATGGTCTCTTAGAACAGATCCTTCCCACCACCCACCCCAGGATGGACAATCCATGTCGCATGAAATCACAATATTAACCTTTTCACAAATGCCCATTTACTATATTACGCTGTAAGATTGTTAAAACAGTCTTACAATGTAGTATACTCACGTACTAAGGTTTCAGAGTATTATATACTTGGAGTTTTAGGATACTCATTTACTATATCATACTCTAAGACTCCTCTAAGACTTTAAGACTCCTAAGAACTTAATGTTGTGCATTTAATGGTTAAAAAATACAAAGAATGCCTAGACAAGAGAACAAACTTACCTATTTCACCATGTGAGCCAGGAGTACCAAAATGGCCTGAAATTCCGGGAATACCCTTTTCTCCCTATTGTATGATGAAAGACAGGCAAAATTAATGAACATTTGTTCAGCTTTCCAAGCAGCACAGTTTGAAAAATTCTTTTAAAATCATTATATTTAGCATTTTGGAGTTTTTGTAGCACTTAATTGCAATCATTTGGCTGAAATCAGTTAAACCAAACCAAGGCAAAACAGATCACAAGTTATGTTCGAAAAATGTTAAATTTGAAATTTGGGCACATTATGCATATACAGTAGTGCCAGTTTTGAATCCTGCAGTTAGGAAAAAGTCCCATTGCAATCTAGAGGCAAACATGCCTGAGAAAGGAATGCTGCTTTTAAGTCTATTAGATAAAAGATATGTGTGAGTCTGCTGCTGGGCCTTTTGCAAGGCTTGTGTTTTCCTTTTTTTTAGTGATGTGACTTATTTTATTGTCACAGTAAATAATGGTGAATTGCTCAGGTCCTTAGACTTGGTATTCTTAGGGCGAGTAATAGCAAATGAGGAGTTCGTAACAGTGGCAGTCAATCCTGAGCGGAAGGGAATAGTAAGGCTAGTGCTGAGGGTGACTTTTACCAGCCGCTGTAGTAACAGGGCCAAGGACTGAAAAGAAGGATCTAGGGCTTCATCAGCTAAAAGCTGGACTCACATTTTGGATAATGTCTTCCAATGAGAAAAGTAGGATTCTCACTAAGCAGCGGTAGGGCTGCTTAATGAACAGTGCAAAGATGAAAGGAAAACATTTTATCCAGAGGATTCCTTACAGTTTTGGCCCTTTTACTCAATTTTTATTGTGTTTGCTTGAACTTCAGCAGTCCAGCAGTTTTAAAGGTGGGAGAGACGCTCACTGGGGAAGCTGGATGCCAGCGAAGGGGCCCTTGGGCATTAACTCACCCTGCCTCCTGTGTTCCCAGGGAAGCCTCGGATGCCGGGAGAGCCAGCCTGACCGGGATACCCCTTCAGACCTGTGAGGCCTTTAGCACCGATGTCCCCTTTCACCCCGGCCACGTAACTGGGATGCCCAGGGGAGCCGGGAATTCCTGTCTTCCCAGGTAGGCCAGGCATTCCTTTACTACCTGCAAGGGTGGAGGAAGAAAAATGACTTAAAATATAAAAGTGGGAAAGGCAGATATGCTGCTCTCTTGTGTGCAACAGCAATGCCTGTTGAGGCATTTCTAGAGGAGGAGGTGGCCTCCTCTAAGCACAGAGAGAAGGCACCGCAGTGCCCGAGTATGAGAAGGCAGCACACACACAAGCAGCGTGTATGCAGAACAGATTTCACTTGGGGAAAGCTCTGCCAGGGGCTCAGCTTTAATTATCGGGGAGTTTGCTGGGTGGGTGGCAGCCCAGTGAAAAATATTTAAAATGATAACAGAGAGGTATTTAGACACTGGTCAACAGCCCTGTTTTATGCACTTGCTTTATTTTGCTCTCCACTGACCTTTCAAGCCAAAGAATCCTTTTGTGCCAATTTCTCCAACTTCTCCTTTTTCACCTTTAACTTCCATCAGCATGCCAGGCTTAAGCTCCGGGGGTTCTCCTGGGGGGCCCTGGTCCCCACGGTCACCTCAAGAGAAAAAGAAAACCATATTTAAAATAAAACTAGCCAGGTGTGTTGTGCTGGAAAAAGAGTGAACAGAAGTGCAAACTTAGCAAAAACTCTTGGGGTTAACGGGAAAACCTGCTTAAGAAGTGCAAACTTAGCAAAAACTCTTGTTAATGGGGTTAACGGAAACTATGGAAAAACCTGCTTGTTCAAAAAGGGACCTGTATCCATACAACACAGCAGCAGAGCAGTTAAGCATAAAAAAAAAGAAAAATGAAGAAAAAGAGTTAAAAGAAAAGGAAAATTGAGTTAAACTGTTGTACATACAGTTCTGGGGAGCTGGACCCAGGCTCCTCTCTGATAGATAATTTACCTCTCAGCAGATCAGTTAGGAATCATGTGATTATAAAAGCCAAAAAGTACACTGGAGAAAGCACAGAAATGTAGGTTAGTTCCTGTGAAAGAGCATTCTCAAGTCAAAGAGGGTTTTAGCAGACAGGCTGGGGCAAAGGAGTGTTGGGTCTTGTAAGAAGTTATTCATTTTGTTCTCTTCTTTCCTTGGAGATTACCAGTGACGCCAGTAAGTATCCTGAAGAAAGAACCCAAATAGACTACGTGTCTGTCTTTTTGTGGAAGAGACAGGCCACCCACCTAGGCTTGTCTCCTATGATCTTCTACAATATACATCATACATTGTCTTCTACGATATACATAAATTATTTGCTAAGACCTTTATTTCAAGACACTCGAAGTGCCTAAAAGTGATATAAGTTAACCTGCATTTAACTAGCAGCATGCTGTTTTCTGAGTTGCATTTTGCCGAGGTCTCCAATGAGTTACCAGGAGTACTTCTCTGCATCCTTTGAATTTCAGGCCAGTTTTTCTTAAGTGTCTCTCTAAGTCTCTCAAATGATCATTTTGGCCTTGTGGCAAAAAAAAAAAACACTTTAAAGAGATTTTTCTATGCAAGGAGAAGAAGGAGGACCTAGTCACAGAGTTAATTTCATTTTAATGACTTTGTTTCCAGCTTTGTTTCCAACTCACTTGCATGTTTTTCTGAATATTTTAATGCCATGCCTTTGATCTTTGTTACACATTATTAAGTGCCTTCACAGTGCAACTGATGCAGAATCTGAGTATTTCCCCCCAAATTGCATCACATTTTCTCGCAAACAGCTTCATTTAAGTACTGAACACGCCTAGTGGTATCACTATCAATCTAACAGTGAAGTGTCCGGCCCCAAAATAAGCATGTTACAGACTTACAGACAACTAACCTCTCCTTGAGCCTAAAATCCAGGCCTCTCAGACAGGGGCCCATGTGTGAAACAGACGGAGGAATTTCTGAGCTAAATTTACCGTGTCAAATACGTGTCTTCTTTCTCTTTGTATCCTTGTAAAATAGTTCTGCATGTGTGAAAAGCAAACACCGGTAACACCCGCAAGCAAATACCTTTAAAGCCTTGTGCGCCCTGGGTGCCTTTATCCCCCTGAGCGCCAAAAGAGCCAAATTTGCCTTTGATTCCTTTGATTCCTGGTCTGCCTCTCAGGCCTGTCATGCCTTTGAAACCATCGATGCCGGGCGAACCCCTCAGGCCTTCGAAGAAGAAAAGGGAAGAGAGTTGTTGCATGATTCAAATGGATTTCTCAAACGGACAAGTAACCGTGAGCTAGGAACGCAGGACTAAAACCACAAGGAAAGGTTGGCACTGGAGTGCTTGGCTTTGGTGCCTTGCTGCATTGGGGAATCTGCAGCTCCACACTAGGCTTTGGTGCCTTGCTGCATTGGGGAATCTGCAACTCCACACTAGGCACCTGAGCTCGCTGCTTCCCCAGAGGGAAGTTTGTGGAGCTGGCAAGTACTAAAGCTACCTATCTCCACACAAAGTTTTCAGTCATCCCCTTCTTTGACTAGAAATACAAATGATGGGTCTGGGCCTGGCCAGCCTTTTTTAACCAAAAATGACTGGGGTGCTATTTTACTTGGGACATACTAACAACACATCTTTATTCCTCTCATATGAGAACTGAGCAAAACTCCAGGGTAATCCTGGGTAGCTCCTAGCTAAGCCTGACCTCCCCAAGGGATGACATGGCTGCAAGGGCATGTGACTCCCCTTTCTGTTTCCACGTGGAGCTGGATTCTGCTGAAACGCTCAGTGTGGCGCAGACCCCTTGCATTATACTTAACTCTTTTGTAGCTGGCAAGGGAGAATCTCACCCTCTTTGTATAAAGCATTAGTATTCTGGTAAAGTTCAACAGTAAGGTCCTGCATCTGGAGATGGCATTGCTCAGTATGTGACTTCCTAACCTTCAAAACCTTCAAAGAAAGGGTTTGGGGAAACAACTGTCTTAATTCCATAGAGAGTTGGTTGGCCTCAGACAAGAGAAAGACTTTCTGAGACAGCAAATAGTAAATATAGTTATTTTTTCCAAAGGAGAAATAAAACTTCCATTACTCTTCTAGACAGTGCCATGTGTCACGATCTATCTTTTTGGCAAGCACAATACAGGGGGGAAACAGTTACCATGATTTTGAAATGCGTTTGGCCTGTGACCATAATTCTACTGTTTCAACAGGGTTACCTCAGTAGCGAATGTGTCCTATTAATCTCAGAATAGTTTCAAGCAATATTATTATTATTATTTTATTATAATTTTTAAGAACTTACCTTTTTCACCTGGGAAGCCATCCATCCCACTTATGCCAGGGGGACCAGTCACGCCACGTATTCCTTGCAATCCTGGGTAACCTGTTTCCCCCTTGTCCCCAGACAGACCTTTCAGGCCCACAGGACCAGGGAAGCCTCTTTCACCATCTTCCCCCCTCGCACCAGGTGGACCTGCAGCATAGAAAGGGAGATGAAAAGCCTTCAGAAACGCATGGCAGCTTCACACAAGGCAGCTAGACAGGCTGAAAACTGCTCTGATAATACATTCAATGTGAGGCGGAGGGATTAGGATTTTTTTTTTCAGTAAAGAACTGCAGCAATTATTATTTTGCTTATCAATTATAAATTTACCTATCAATTTATAAATTTAGCTTAGAAAATTAGCTTATCAATTAAAAATGTTTTTCTTATATAAAACACAATCTTGGTGTTACAAGTGCAGATCAATTCTTCTCATGGCAATTGCAAACCAGCCTTCTTTGCTATTGCCCTGCTGGCCTGGTTCTACACCTGCTTCTACCCTTTCCCTCTCCATCCTTTTTAATTTTACTCCTTTTTCCCTGATGCAACTCCCATTTTGGCAGCTATGTTCTTCCACTCTGTCATCAGAAAGCTCTGACCTGGCCTGGCAGGTGGCTATAAAAACAAAAGCAGAAGCCCTAGCAGTGAGGACCACCATTACTCCCACTAGTATCTGCAACATCAGCATAATTCACAATCAGTGCCCATGAGTTGCTGTGTTATTGCTGTCGTTTTCCTTCCTGGGAGTTAAAGCATGACATGTGCGACAATCCCAAGACCATGGCTGCCCTGACATAGAAGGAGGAGTGACATGGGACAGCATCAATTGCTCACCGACTGGCCCTTGTGGACCAGGCCCGCCTTCTGGCCCGGGATTTCCTGGTGCCCCTGGGAATCCATGTGTTCCTGGTCTTCCTGGCAAACCAATCAAACCAGGGGGACCTTGGGGCCCTGGATCACCTTTGGCTCCTGGCAAGCCTGGATTGCCATCCGCTCCTAAAATACCAGAATCATTCATTAGAAAGTATAAATATGTAGCGAGCTGATCATTAGATATTACTTCATTAAGTGTGTGTGAATACAGTGTTCTTTCGAAATACATTTTTCCTCCAAAAAACAGTGAGTACAGGAAGTTAAAATTAATAGGCTGTTTATCTGTTTTAAAATAATTGACATTATCAATACTAATTTCAATGCTTGCTTTGGAAATACTAAGTCATCTCAAATTAATGGAAGCAATTTTAGCACCAAATTGACATGGACAGAGCAGGTTTCTTCCATTTTTGACACCAGTATCTCCTTAATTCTTGTACTCTGTCTCTTTATATGTCTTTGTGCGAGTTGAATAAACAGCTGACAAAACAACAGAAATAATGCTCTATATGTTTTCTGAAAGTGGTAGGCTGGAATGAGAAAATTTAAGGCAAACAATGTGTTCTGTTTTTGTGTTATTGCTCAGAACTTTTCAAACAAGGTGTTACTACAAGATTCATAAATATTCCTAGGCAAAATGGCCCTACACTATTTAGTGCACTGAAAATTAATGCCTTTACCAAATAAAGGCACCATGAGTGTCAAGTCGTTCAAGATTAAAAAAAATAAATAATAATAATGCCTGCTTTGCATTCAGAATGGAGAAGCAGTAGCGTATAGGAATTCAAAAGCACATAGCACGTAAAATGCAGATCAAATAACTTTATTCAGCTCTTATATCAAGGTATTCTCATTTATTTGAATGTAGAGGCATGTGCTGAGAGGAAAACTGGGTCATATAGAGTTAATTGCCTCAATGACAGAATAAGGATTAGAGCTCTATTCTGAAAGGCTAATTGAGTGGATAATATTCAGCTTGTATTTACGTGAAGCACATTAGCTGCTTCATATATAACTATATACATATATATAGTTATACATACACACACACACACATATATATACACCACTCATACAAAAAATTCATGTGCTTTTGGGGTTGTTTGTCTAGGACACATCAAGAACAGACATGCTAATAATGCTTTTTTTCTTTGCTGCAACTATTTCTTGTTGTTAGTTCTACAAAAATGTTTAGAAAGGAAATACAAAGTGATAGACTTTTATTTCTTTTCAGGCTATGTTTTATCTTAAATTTCTTTCCCTTTTCAGAAAACTGGTCTAGAAGTTCTGGTGATGTTTTCTGCTTTTTTTTTTTTTTTTCCCCAAATGTAGCACAGCTTACTTCAATGTCACAAAGCTTCCCTCATTTCTTTTGTCCACTCTGTGGCTTTTGTGAAGGTGAAATCAGCTGTACGTATGTGCTTCAAAACATGCATGAAAAATGACATGGTTTTCCTATTTTATTGAAAATCACAAGAAGACTTTCTGAAATGTGTCCCTGTGAGACACCTCCTTGCTTTGAGCTGCTGACACATTTTCTATTCCTTCTTCCTTCACCTCTCACTTGCATTGCAACAGAACAAGGGGGGACAGCCACATTTTTAGTGTCCAATTGCTGCTGAAACTCTGTGGCAGAGGGTGCTTAACTCCAAAGAGTTCTATAGAAAATGTCTCATAAAACTCAGACAGCTACAAAGACAGATTTTGTAGAGAAACTATGATATTCTTGTCTCTACAGGGACTTTAGCATGGTTTTTAAGCTCTGTAAAATAATGAAATAAAGTGAATTCCGGAGCCCTGAATGAATGCAGAAGGTTATCTTTCACTTGGTCTTAAGTGCCCAAAGACTGATCAGGAAGGAAAGAATCATTAACATTTTGCTATAGGCTTTACGTATAATATCCTATCATGATAACTGGACCTAAAAGGATCTCTGTTAAAACATACAAATTCTGCATTGGAGCAACCTGTTATTCTGCAAGGCCATATATTACCTGAACATTCTGGGGAGTGTGAAGTAAGAAGTATTTTATGCAGTATGTAAGTAAAATGTCAGAATAATGACCACAGTGGTCTAGTAGTGTTGCTTGTGTTGTTACAAACCATTTCCCTAACTACAAAGAGAAAAACGAACACAACATAGATGATCAAAATATTGTTCTTGGGATCACTTTGTAGCTGATTTCACTCGATGCTTTGTGAAGTGCAATGTTGGTCATAACCAATAGATCTCTGGAAGCTGTTTGGAGGAACCAGGCATTTTGATATCTATGCAAGATACATCAGGAAGAGATGGGAAACTGTCTGACACTAGGATTTGATGCTCAGATCATGAGTTGGTCGCATGCATCCTAACACAGACACCTGAAACTCCACTTCACTAGTTTGACTACATTTATACTCAACTCTTACTCAAGTATTTCTTTACTGGTATTAGCAGGTACCTCTAATTCCCGGTACTCCTTGATCTCCTGGAAGGCCTTTCAACCCAGGAAAGCCAGGGAATCCAGCATCCCCTCTGGGACCTGCTGCTGCTCCTAAAACTTCCCCAGGAATGACTTTCAATCCTGCTGGTCCAGGAACTCCAGATTTTCCTGTAAGGCCTGGGTGGCCCTGCAGTCCAGGTAAACCAGTTGGGCCCCTGTCTCCTCTGGGCCCTGTAAATCCTATAAATAAAACAGTGATAAGGGTCACAGTGTTCACTAGAAATGCTGTTATTCAAATCCCAGAAATGCCATCATAATACCAGCTATTGTACATAATGATTTCCATTTGTTTAATATCACAGATTTTGGATAAAAGCAACCAATGAACTGTATACAAATATTTTAAGAAAAGTGTTTGATATTTGACCAAATGTGAAAACTGGCAAAACTTAAAAGACATGCCTCAGGATGTCCATGTACCCTGTGCCCTAGTGATGACACGCACAGCACCATGGACAGTCACTTCCAGGCAGCTATTTCAAACTGGCTACTGCCAATTGGCTATTGCATTTTATGAACACCTTATTCTGCTCAAACATTCCCATAGACAAAAAGTCATTTTGATATGCAGTAGGGGTAAGATGTTCCTATGCTCCTGGAGTATGCCCAAACAGCTTCTGCAGACTATGTGTGTGCAGCAGGCCTGTTTTAGGCTCATACAATTTACTATGCATGAACAGAACACTGATACATTCAGTTAATTGATGTGTCTTGGACATGCTGGAATCCCTGGGAAGATGCAGAAGGCCTCAATTTAATGTGTGCCTATTCCAAACTTCCATAAAATCTGACAGTCACTAAACACTTGAAAAAAAATTTGTATCGCTGTTTGGAAGCACAGTCATGTAGTCTCATGTTCAGTACACTTTATATTAATGCTGGAAAGAATTAAATAGAGACATTAATAGTAGCATTTTCTTCCTCTCCATCATTGCACTGACTATATTTCTTGTGGAATCTGAAGCCTCTTATTATCTTGATTTTTTTATTTCTATGCCCACTTTAGGATATTTTACTGTCATATTTATAGTTCTGCACTATAAAGTGCATTCAAAAGGTTCGAATCTATGTTATTTTTCATCACTACAGAAGCAGCATGAAATCCTTGTGGCTTCAAAAAACAAGCAGATTTTTGTAACAGATTATATTGTTTGAATAGGGAAAGGAAGATAAATGAAGATGAATCTTGGGTTCCTGTGAATGTAGAAAAGAGAATGACTAATTATTTCAAGATACCTGGAGGACCTGGGGCTCCTTCCCGACCTGGATCACCCCGTGTACCATTTAGCCCTGGATAACCCACTGGACCTGGATCACCTGGGAATCCTCTTGCACCTTTTGCACCTAAGTTATGTTAAAGAAAGTAAAGAAAGTGAGACCCAAACAAGCAAAACAGACATGTGCATGTAGCGTAGGCAAAGATTGTGGTGGATATCATAATGATGTATTTCAGGATGCAAATATTAATTTTCAAAAATTTAATTGGACATTGTACACTGTAGATCTTTAACAGTACCCAAGATCCAAAGACATGGATGAAATACTAGGCTGTGTGTTCTACATGCATGCTACAAACATTTATTAAAAAGACTCTTCCAGACTTCTGTACTAATGATGGGGAGGCTACTAGAGTGAATATGAGAAGTCTAATAGACTTTAGGGACTTTTTCTTGAAGAATGTTTTGTAAATTAAGATTTTTAGCTTAAAATAAAAAGGTTCAGACTGAAGATCGGCTTCCAGGAAAAATGAACCTCCCACTTCCTTATGATGTAATACTTGGTATTTCAGTAAAGACAACTGCATGTTACTGTTTCTTAACATCTGAGAGGTTACAAGCATTTAGTAGGATTCTTTTTTCTTACTGTTAAGTTTATAAGATTATACTATTTATGCATTTTTAGGCAAGAAGTCTATTACATTATTCAGATTATGATATTGTATGCCAAGATCAGGATATTTGGTAATGTTTTAAAAAAATAATTCCTACGGAATGTTTTGCTTTTTCTTCTCCAGAACTAGTTCCTTGAACTTCAAGCTCCCTGCTCCTGCCTGAAGGTCAACAACATGCTTTAACATTTATAGTGTTGGTGCTTGGCATCACCATGAATTACAACAACTCATTTATTTGTTACACTGAAAGTAAGTTTCTCTCTATTCATTTCTAACTATGACAAAATAATCAAAATCTCACTTGAATTTTGATGTTTTTTCCATTTCAGTTTTCTGATTTTCTATTATTTAGGTTTTTTTTTGCAGTTTTAGTTAATGTTTGTGAAGGGGAGAAGAATTTTTTTTAAAAAGGTTAGAATTAAGGAGCGCATAAACAATCTACACAGTGTGAATAACATTTTTCCATTGCAATACAAGACCATTGTTCTCTCCCCTATATGAACAATAACTTCCCAGAAAGCAATTAAAAAGAAAACTCCTAGGCTTCCAGGTCTCAGTGAAAAATTCTCATGTGTCTTTTATCCAAATAGCAGTTTGCCATCTGCAATAACTGACTTTCACTAATTCTGCTCAGAATTGCACTAATTAAAGCCATGTTAGAGAAAGCAGGCAGCAGATGGAGAATGCCACCAGTGTTTACCACAAATTTCAGTAACTTACTATGTATGTGATGTAAGCCCATGTTAACATGTTGTGTCAAACAGCAGGAAAAAGAAGTAGTAGAAAAAAAGGTTTTATTTTAGACCAATGTTCAGCTTGCAAACTTTTAAGTGGTATGGTTATAAAAGAAAACTGCTTAAATATCTTATTCAACAGCAGTCTTGAGGAGAAAAATACAATGTCCTAAGAGGACACTGGTGATTGATAGCATAAATTAGACATTGGTACTTTTGTTCCATTATTGTGAATATGGGCAAGCATTATGCTCCAAGAAACTATGGATGGAGCTATAGTAACAAGAAGCTGAGAAAAGTTGTATAAAGCATCCTGTTCTTCCCAGTTTTCTATCTCCAGAGCTTTCTCAGGTTGAAAGGAGACACAGAATTCTGCCCTGAGTGCAGCAATGGCACTTTTTTGCGTTGTTGGAGGACAGGTAGACAATAAGTCTTGAAGTTACTAAGAGAACGATGAAAATAGAGAAAGAGTAGCAAAAAGGTTAACCAAAACTCTAAAATATAAAACGCAAGAATCTGTGGTGCAGCACCAATCTACAGGAGCCCTAAATTAGAATTTAAATCTGTCTGCACTTGCCGAAAGAAAAAACTTAAGCCTAAACCTGAAAAGTGTGCTTTCACATAAATGACAGCAGACACAAATCATCCTACTCAGGAAAAGCTACAAAGATTGCAAAGGAAAAAATCTTCAGCAGCACTGATCCTAGTGCCAAAGTCAGGCATTGAAAATAAGACAACATAAATCAGAACTATACATCATCTCTCAACAGAGAGAAAATTTCTCCTTTTAAGAGACATGAATCTGTGATAAATCAATTCATGCCATAATAAAACTTGTGCTGAAAAAAAAAAAAAGAAAGGTGGCTAAGGCACAGAGATTGCAGTTCTGGAACAAGCGCACCAAGAATTTTACATGTCCCAAACTCTGATGGACCAATTTATGTTATTTGTTGGTATTCCTATCAGCTGGATATGATAATTATTTACTGAAAATCAGCTTTATTGCTCAGACTGGGAGGAAGCATGCTTATAGGAACTATCAGTAGTGCTTATTTTAAAGGCCCATGACTGAATAGTTTCTATAGAAAGACCACTTTGAGGTCTAATGTTTGACCTCAAAGTGTTTGACCACAAACACACACCTTGTTCGTGTTTCTCGCATTCCTCATCTCACATGGTCCTTCATACTCGGTCCCTACCTCCTCTTCTTTTACAAGAGAGGCCAGAACCTCTTGTTTCTGGGATTGCCAGGTGATCCCTCTGGGCCTGTGTAGCAGAGCTCTGTGAGGAAGGTGTGTGTGGGTTCAGACAGTGCAACTGCATTTCTGCCTCTGTTTTATGGCCTGCTTCAAATGAATGCTTTCCTCTGTTGCCACCTCGTAGGCCTAAAATATACTCAGTCCTAAGACACAACTTTAATAGGTTTAGCAAGATCTTCATCAAAATATTGTGCATATGGGAACAAAAGTGAAGACAAAATGTTACCTGTGACTCCTGGCAGTCCTGGGTTGCCTTGGGATCCCTTTGGTGGTCTCACGCAGCCCGCACCTGCAAACAAACCTGATTAGGTGCTAATCATGATTTACATGAAAATCTCGGTTTACAACCAAGATGCCATAATAAGATGCTGCCATAAAAGCGGCATAAGACTAAATATTAAGGTATTTTCAAGCCACTTTTTATGTACAGTACCTGACCAAATAGGCTCACTTCCATCTCCTCTGGAAAAGTCTTCAATGACTTGTCCGCAATCTATGAGTGCAGAATGGGGAAAGATAGTTAACACTTAGAAGTGAAGAATTACAAAATCTTTCAGTTCTAACCAGTGTCTATTAGAACACTATATAATATATTCTCTTAACTATTGTACATTTAAGAAACCACATGGAAAAAAATATATATTGGAACTCTTCTACCTGTTAGGCCTGAAACCTAATTCTCCCACTGCTGGAAACCTACTTTTCCCCTGCAATGTGTTGAGTGTGCAGGTGCCTTCTTTGTCTTGCAAATTCTGTCAGACATATTGAAGCTGAACAACACAACTCTATGGAAAGTCTTGTCCATATAGCCCCAGTGTTCTCATGCTGCAAGGGACATGAAAAGCTGCAGAGATACTGTGACACCCAGAAGAACAGGTACACATTTTTCTCTGGCCAGTTAAGAGGCTGAGTTGGAATAGGAAAGACTAGAGAGAAACATCTGTGAGAACTTTAAGAGGAAGAGCTCAACACTTGAGCTCTGTTGCCTTCAACTGCTCGAAAAAGGGTAGATTTAACTCACTGATAGGCATTTATGCTATTTCCCAACTTGAAATGAAAATAATGGGAAATCAGGCTTCTGAACAACCAACGCAGTCAATTCTCTTTACCCATATGATTTCCCCGCAAATGCTGTCTTTTCAACAGTGATGCTGTACAGACACTGTACACTATTTAGTAATAGTCTCCCACAGCTTTGACATCAAACAGAGAGTTCAGTCTTACCTAGCTGGCCAGGATCTCCGGGCAGACCAGGCAAACCTGGAGGTCCATGGCTTCCATCTGATCCACGGTCTCCTGGAGGACCACGGTACCCTTTTGGGCCAACGAATCCTTCACCTGGCAGACCAGTTTCTCCTGGAAAGCCCTTTGGGCCCAATTCTCCTGGATAACCAGGATCACCAGGGAAACCTCTGATGCCATCACCCTGAGGGAAGTGGGTAGAAGTGGTCACTCTTGGCTTTGCCGAGAAACAAACTCAAACTACTCTTATGAGTAATATTTTATAGGCAGCTACTCCTTGTATATCACATCTCAAGTATTTAAATCATAATTGCATACAATATATTTGAAATAACAGGTCTTCAATTTAAACCCCACAACAGAAAAGCTACTCCAGAAGCACTCCCAAAGGGAGCATTCCTGTAGAAAGGCTGGCCAATGAACAACACTGGGCAACATAAATTACTAGCGAGAACAGCTCTACTGTCTTTTCTGTGAAGCTGCAGTGGATTTTGGTGAAAAAAACACACATCAGAGGAGAGGTCCTTGCTCTATTGATTACATGTGTGGCTCTTGGGAGGTCTGACTGGAATGTGACCAATATATTCTCATATCCCCCATCTCCTCTGCTCTCAGTCAACAGAGGAGAAAGGGAAAAATAGAAACATAATATCCTCTTTATCTCAAATTTTGACAGTAGATAGGATCTTAAATGGTAGCAAAAACCAATGCAGGCCAGATTTATTGTTATGGCTCTGGCCATCTTCAAATTTAATGCAAGAGCACCATAATGGTCCAAACCAACATTTATCATATGGAAAAATCAACTGCACTTGCTGCATGGTCTTTTGCCTACAGTAGGCCTACTAAAAGACCAACAGGGACCATATGTCTAACTTTTAGTTGACTATAGTTTGATGAGATGCTATCAAGCATACATAAATGAAGATATAACTTACACTTTGAAGATGTAAAATTAAAATAATTTTTACTTTTCTGCAACTCAATCACAGCAAAGATGTAGAAGTTCTGTCACAGTGAGTATCTCTCAGAAAAAAAAAAGTTAGAGAAGTCACTAATAAATGACTAATAATAACTAAAAATGTATCAATAGCAAATTGGCCTGACTGGGTTATATAGTATTATTTATTTGTTTAAATAAATTGGGAATAAAAGGAAGAAGTTGTTTTAAAAACTCAAAAGCAAAAGTGATTGATATTAACAAGCAAAGCTAGTTTATTTGTGTATCATTACCTGTGTGTGAAGGATAGCCAGATGATAATAATTTCTCAGAATTAAATTCATTAGCAGCTGAGTGTAGCTGAAATGATTTGGCTATATTTACTACTTACCGGAAGGCCAGGCTGTCCTGGTAAACCATCTAAGCCATCCCTTCCTGGGAAGCCGTCTTCACCTCTGATACCAGGAAATCCAGGATCTCCTCGAATTCCTTTGGTGCCTAAAGAAGAGCTCTCATTGTCAGAGTATTCCTTCAGGAAAAGTATGAGTAGTTGCAAAACACATGCAGCATTTTTTACTCTACCTTTAGTAGTTATGTATAAAGAATCTCCCTTTTCTCCTTTTGGTCCAGGAAATCCATGCAAACCAGACAATCCCTGGAGTTATCCATACCGTATTGAAAAACAAACAAACAAACCAAGAACCACTTAAGTATAAAGAAGATTTGCATTTCCAGTGTCCTATCTGCTCTAGGTTTCCTTCTTTTCTGTTATTTCCTATGAATAAATCCCTCTTTAGTATTTTTATTTTTGTGCCTAAAACTTTATTAATATTAATATTTATTAAAAGCCAAATCAGTTTTGGATCAATTCTACAAAAACTTTGCTCTAACATCTTGGGAGAAGATGTGACTTACTGAAGTCCGTTCTGACTGTGAGAAAACATGAAGCAGTTGGCACACCATAGCGCCTTTAACCGTAAATAATAATCAAGCAATTATTAGCAAAGCAGTCTTTGCAGAAATATTCATTGGTGGCTTTTAAGAAGACAGTGTATTATAAACAAGTTCATCAGCTTCACATATGTATCTTCTTAGAAGCAGTTGTTTTGGAATTGCTGAAATTGTTCTCCCACTAGATGGCCAGATCATGATCAGTACTAGAGTGGGTCATCAGGTCATTTCTCGTAGGCATATAATACTGCTCATTAAAGAAACAAGTATGTTACCTTTGCCCCAGGATAACCAGGAATACCATGTGGACCTTGATCACCAGTTTCTCCTTTTCTCCCAGGCTGGCCAGGAGATCCTGGAAAACCACGTGGGCCAGGGGGACCAGTAAAGCCCCTTCTGACTTCTTCACCCAGTTGACAAGTACCACAGTCCCCTACTTCGCCTAAGAAAGTGGTTTGGAAGGAGAAGAAAGAATAAAAACATATTTGTCAGAACAAATATATTTTTACCTGTATCCATTATATACATATCTGAGAATATGTATTCTCAGTGTTGAGAACTTTCTCAAACACTCTATAAAAGTACTCTTCCTTTTCTTTATATAAGAAACTTGTTTTTCTCACTGTGTGAGCACCTGACCAAATTAATTGGTCTCTGTGTATGTCATTTTTAGACAAAAATGAAACCGAATGCAAAGGGAGTTTTACACAGTTGCATAACAGCAAATAATTTGTACATATGTTTGTTATAACCTGCCTTTAGGTCCTTTTGGTCCTCGTTGTCCAGGAAAGCCTTGTGTGCCAGTTCTACCTGGAGTCCCCTGCTGTCCTTTTAATCCAAAGAGATAACCTAGAAGGTTAAATAAATACAAATATGAAATTTTGTACTGTATTTTTATTTTTCTTCTCTCTCTATCCTTTTCCTTTGAGCTGCACTGCTTCTACATTTTTCTCTTTCACTCAGAATCACAGAATGGTTGAGGTTGGAAGGGACCTTTGGAGATTATCTAGTCCAACCCCTCCTGCACAAGTGGGGTCACTTGTTGTACAGGATCATGTCCAGGAGGGTTTTCAGTATCTCCAGAGGAGACGACTCCACAGTGCTCTGTTACCCTCACAGTAAAGAAGTTCTTCCTCAAATTCAGACAGAACTTCCTGGGTTTCAGTTTGAGGCTGTTGCCTCTTATCCTTTGCTCTTCACCATTGAAAACAGTCTGGTCCCATCCTCTTGACACTCTCCCATCCATTCGCCTTCCTACTACTCTGTACTGATGCAAGCACCTAAACGGACCATTTTCTTGCCTCTGCTTTGTTTTCCATTTATTTCATCTATTTACAAATAGATGGTATTCTTTGATATTTCTCAATATCAAAGAATGATCCAATACCGGCTTGCCTGGATTTTTCCTCCTTTTAGATTGTATTGCAGGACACAGGCATGCCGAAGTGTTCAGACCAGGAACTGACTGGAGCACTTGGCCCTGGTACAGGATTTCCTGGCCTGGAAACCACTATGAGGCATACAGGTAGAATATATCCCCAGGTCTCATCTCAGTGTGGTTATAGGACAGGGCCTGAGCACATATATGGCCCCAGGAAGTGGTTGCTAACACAAACACAACCTTTGTAGCTTCTGGTACCCCTGGCCCTGCTCTCCCTCAGGACAACATATTTTACAGTACCACAGACCATCAGCTGCCTTATTTCCTGCAATCCTTTTATCCATACCTGCTCTTGCACTGCCTGACCCCTTCCATAGTGGCATACATTAACCTAAGTTGGAAGGGGCCTCCAGAAACCATCCTGTGCAACCTTCTGCTCCAAGCAGGATCAAACCTAAAATTAGAGCAAGTTGCTGAGGCCTTGTCCAGTTGTTGCAATTTGTGACCACTGTCTCTTATCCTTTTGCTGTGCACCTGAGTAAAAGCTCTGGTCCCATTTTTCCTATAACCTCCCAAGAGACAGAGGAAGATAGCACTAAGCTTCCCTTTAGCCTTATCTTCTCCAGACTATGGAGGAAGATGAGCTCTTTCAGCCATTCCTTGCGCATCATATGCTCCAGCCCTCTAACCATCTTGCTGGCCTCCCACAGGTTAGTGTCTTTCTTTTACTGGGTAGACAAAAACTGGACTTTTCGGCAATTTCTCATTTTAATCTGTATGTTTGTGGAACATAATCTGTTTGAGATCTTGTTCAATCTCTCTCACACTTACTAGGACCCTTTACCAGAGCACTGGTTCAATTTTATCGGAAATTTCAGTCGTAAAAGATCTCTTTTATACCATGAAAAAAATGCAAGTTTGAGCATGAAATCCCCATATTCCTCCCACAGGCCAAAACAGGTCTCTGTATTTCAAATTTGCAGGAAGTATCTAAAAATCATGTGAATGTTTAATCCCTGAGCATACTACTATACTCCTCTGAGTCCCCCCTGCCAGCCATCCATTTTATTTCATTCCCTCAATCTACTTTTTCACTTTGTCTTGCCAATAGGTATCTATAAAGACACTCCTGTGAGTTTTTATCATATTATTTCAAGCACTTACCAGGAGATCCACGGGGACCAGGTGGACCACGGAGTCCCGGTGTGCCGTGCTTGCCCGGAAACCCAGGTGGGCCTGCTTGATAAGCAGGAGAACCATCTTCACCTTTTTCACCCTTTGGTCCTATTTCTCCAGGTAAGCCTGGCTTATCCCCGTCAGCTGAAACAGAAGCATACGCAGGGAAGAAACTCAGAAGAATTTCTTAGCAAAGCTGCACAAAGAAGTAAAAATTCATGCAACTACAGGTAACACACAAAGAAAAATTGAGACATTTCTTATAGAACAAAAGCAGCAACATTTTTTACCCAAGAAAATCAGCAACAGCTCCTGAAGCAAGTAACTGTCACTACCTCTACTTCAGTTGCTTTGCCAGAGCCCTGTAGTAGCTAGGGCAGAAATGCAAATTGCACTCTGATTTTCAGTCCCAGCAGCTAGTTAGCTATCACACTGTATTAAATACTACACACTGAACCACAGTTCCCCACGCCAAACCCCTTCCATTTAAAACTTGTTATAAAATTAAGTTACTAGAACATGTGACGCTGACATATTACCATCAGAGAATCCAGGAAGACCAGGTGCACCAGGATCTCCTTCCTCTCCTTGGTCTCCCTCTGGTCCAGAAACGCCTGGAAAGCCTGGATCACCTCTTGCGCCTGAAAGACATCCCCAGTACCACAAAATACACATTAAAGTGGTAGTGTTTGTGATGCATAAATACTGACTTCTGATATGCTGCAGATTGCTCAACCCACTGTAATTTTTAAAAAGTAACAATTAAGAACTTAACTGCTTTAGATATGATAAATTATTTCTTAAAGATGGCTCTAGAAATGTCAAAACATGTCACCTCTTGCCACATCAGAATGAATGAAGCCTATCGGAGAGACTCTGTACAGCCCTAATATCTGGGCCTGAGCACAACTTGCGAGAGCAATGGTGCGGATCTTGCAGGTCAAAGAAAGGGAGAACATCTCCCTGCACTTCCTCATATTCCCCTGGAGCCTTGTTGCTCCCAGCAGGTACAGGAGGCCAGCCTTTGAGGAAAGCCCCTTATTTTCCTTACGTGAAAGAGTCATGAGAGCAGGTGTGAATGGGACCTTCATCCTGCTCCCCAGTATCAAAAGCACCCACTGGGCCTAGATGCTGCATGCAGAAAGCATCATGCTTTTTGTCAAAGCTCTGTGCTGCCAGAGCACATGTGGTATGTCCAACACACTGCTTCCTCCTCTCCTGCTCCTATTACCTTGTGGATGGTTCAAACAATGTCTTGAGGGCCTGTTACCCACTTTCTCAGGGAGGAAGGGACCCACATGTGGTAGCCTCTGACTTTAACAAGAGTGGCAAACTCAACAGGATGAGGTCTCAGGCTGGAGCAATGGCACATGATCATCCTTTCTGCTTGTACTTCCCCTCCCACAGTTTTGGCTTTGGCAAACTGACATTCTTCCTCAGTATGTTTGTGTTCTGGTCGGCCAGAGCCACCACAGCTCTGCAAAACAGCTGACAGTGAACTGTACAAGCCCACTGAAAAGACCACAATGTAAATTTTTCAGTTTAAAAAAGGAAGAAAGAAATCCCCTTCTATTCCTCAGGACTCCTTTTTTTATTTTTTTTCTCTCTTTATATGTATTAGATTAGACGAACGCTCTCTGCTCTGCCACACTTGTGGCATCTAATTCAAACACTCTGAAAGAGGAATAGGAACATATCTCCCATTCTTCCTTTCACAGGACAACTACATCATACACTTTTTTGTTTATTTTTCTCTGTGGTTTCAGGAAGCCGTGGATGCCTTTTGTATAGTAGCCCAGGTTCAGTAGGACTTGCAAAATGGTGATTAGGGCACTGTCTGGGAAGGCAATTTCTGTTACAGCTTAAGGAGTTGAATTCTCAGGATTTCATGCTTTTGATCTATGTGTAAGTTAGTCCATGGCTAAGATAAGTAACTTAAGCAAAGCAGACATACCTTTTCTTGGAATGGGATAAGGAAGATAAGAAGTAGGTCCTGGAACACCTCTCTCACCCTGTTCTCCCTGTGTTAATAGAAATTGAAGTACTGCATTTAAGCATGTTATTCCAGAGGATTTTTTTTTAAAAAAAATGAAATACATGCCCATGAAATACAAACCTTCCAAAGCAATCAAGTGAATTTTAAGAAATCTGACAGACTACAAGTCAACAACCCAACTCGTTATTCTACAGTGACTACAAATACTTCAATTGTTATTATATTACAAAGAAGAAAGGAAAACAGTTACATCTGGTTTATTGCTTCTAGCAAATGGAAGTAAAACAGTACCTTGCTTCCTCTAGGACCATAAGCACCTGGTTCACCATCAAGTCCTGAAAAACCCTGTAATACATATCAAAATGGTTCACTTTTTCCCTTATTTCAAAAAGGATAAAATTATTTGTTCTGTATTAGCTGGTTTCCACTGATGTTAGTGTGAGAACTGTGCAACAGAGCTGAATAGTTTGTTTCCCCAGGTGTGATAATTAAGGCAACACCATTAAGTGTCTTAAGTGTCCTCATTTGTTGGAACAAACCCAACTCCAGTCAAAGGCCATGGGACCTGCTGTGGTGTAGGCTGTGCAGCTCCTGGTAGTGCACGGTGGGATGGGGCACCTGCTCCTACACCGTTCTCTTGGCCCTCCCTCTCACACTCTGTGTCATATCCATGCTGGGCACACTGTATCCTGCAGGAATTTTCCACCCCCACCAGAGCAAGTCACAGAATCAAGGAATCACAGAAACGATTGGGGTTTTGAAGAGGCCTCCAGGTACCATCTGGTCCAACCTCCTTGGCCAAGCAGGCTTAGCTAAAACAGGTGACCAAGTTCCATGCACAGTCAATGTTTCAATATTTAAGGTTCTGCCCCCCCTCCCTCAGTTGAAGTGTTTTAAATCTACTCTGGAAAAAGAGTGATGTTAAAAAGTTGAACTTGTAGGAGAAAATTGGGGCTGCATCTTTAGCTGATATCAATCCACCCAACTTAACTGAAACCAGCCAAGCTGTATAATTTACACTAGCTTCATTATTAGCTAGCATTTTAAAGTAACTCCCAAGTAACACAATGGGGTGAACACCTGCACACAGCAGGAATTTTGAAAACAAGCTCTGTAAAATATTTACAGAACCTTTATAGCACTACAAATTCCACAGCACTCAGCAAGATACCACAAACAGAACCATATGCTTCAAAGACTTTTCTATAATGGCAACTATACAACAAACAAGAGACTGTTAAATAGTAGGTGTAAAATCTCTTTACACTAGATGGAGCTGGTGGTCTAAAAGTGAAGCTGGGGGATCAAGTCATTCAGTAAAATACAACAAAAATGTGCTTTCTGGCAAACAGCACCTTACGTAGTCCATTCTTTAGCATGTATATATTACAGAGTGACAGTCATCCAAACCAATGTATACTCCACTAAAACTGTTGCCAAGGTTTGCCTTCGATGAAATGAAGCCACTGAAGGCTTCTGACTGAAACATCAATATCAATTAAAGACAATCATTTGGCTTTCATCATTCTTTCAGTGGACATATTACTTATTGATAGCATTTTTGCTTCCCCACCACCAAGTTTTGTGATCAGACTGAAGTAGCTGTGAAAATTTCATGATTTCAAGCAGATCTGCAAAAAGCTAATCAAAACACTAAGTGTCTGCATGGCAGGAGGAAAGTTTGGAAATTCCCAGCAATAATGGGAATAATGAATATTACATTTTATGACAGTGCTCTGAAAACACGCTCACACTGAATGGCAAAACACACTTATAGGGAGCTTTTTCTATTTCCACTTATGAGGAAACTACCTGACCCCAATGATAGATGAATCCAGGTGATATGTACTACACTGCAGGTGGTATCATTTCAGGCAGGATTTGTCCTCTGCAGCTTGTCTAAATAATGTTAGAAACAAGTCTTGTGTGAAATACTCACTCTGTCTCCACTGAGTCCTGGAAAGCCATTGACACCAGGCAGTCCCTGTGAAGAAATATTAAAACAAGCAAAATAGAGTGGCATCCTAACAAATCTCTTCAGAGCCATTATTTGTTCTTAGCTAAAGTAAGTTTCACAGTAAGTTTGAAGTTCTAAAACTAACAATTCTACTTCAGATACACTTTAAATGAGATACATACATGGTGCAAACAGAACAGATTTGAAGTCTGATATTTGATCTTTTCTACTTTCTATTTCTTCATGAGTACGTTGAAAGTGATCATGAAAATTTTAAAGATACCTGATATATATAAAAAAACATACACTGAATACTATTTTAAGCTGTTTATGAAGCCTAGAAATGGTGCAACTAAAAGCATACATAGACGCCAGAAAGTAACAACATTTAGATATGCTTTTTTTTTGGGTTCATAGAATAGCTGTAGACAAACCCATGTGTTTTTAATCATTGCGACAAGAGAGCTAAGATGCTCACAGTGACAGGAAGCTTGGGAGCAGCTGAGGAGCCCTCGAGAAGAAGGGTGACTTTCTGCACCCGCCATCCTGTGAGCGTCATGCATGGCTTTCCAGGGAGGACATACGCACACCTATGAGTTGCCCTCTCGCCTTTACCATTTGAAAACAGCCTTTTCCCTTTCCCATGCCAATGAGTTCAGAGATGGCCATTCTTTGGCATCCACTGGCTGAAAAACTATTCTTTCTATGGTTTCTTAATCTGTTCTGCTGTTTCTAAAGGAAAACACTCAGCTTGGTCTTGCCCCATTTAGTTGAATGAATAATGCCTTTAATGAGTGACTCACCCGCTGTCCTGGGAAGCCCATTACTCCTTCTTCACCTTTTTCGGGAGCGTAGATAAGTGGACCCTAGAAACATAACAAGTCAGTCAGCACATTCAGATATTATATGCACACCAACTTTCACACTTCTTTTACAGAAGCTAAACAGAAGGAAAACATCATTACAACACATGGAGTGACTAGTAAAAGCTAAATGTGAAAGAATTCATGTCCTTAAAATTAAGTGTAACATGCTTGCTGCATTAGAGAAACAGGATCAAGCCACTAGACAGAAGACAGGGTTTCTCTCCTGTCATCTCCCACATCTTTATTTCTTCTGAAGAAGAGCCAAAGCAACTGTTTAGCTATACAACCAATTAGGCAACTCGGTCCATGTGCAAACTGTGGCTTCAGAGAGCTATTTGGCAAACAGAGGCACTTCACCATTAATAAAAATGAGAGACACGGACATCCCTGTTTGTTATGCCAGCGTAAAATCTACTGTAATTCTTTTGCACTCAGTAAAATGCTATATGTATAAAATCTGAGGAATTGCTGAAGAACCATCTGGCAACTGCATACTGAAGACATGAGGGCTCACATCAGAACCACCTCCTATAGCCTCATGGGGAAGCTGAACAGACCATCTAAGAAGATAAAGCTCTGCAGGATGCTCAGGAGGCATCCCAAATTGGTAAAGGTTATCTTTTAAACCATCCTGGAAAGCAAAAAGGCACCATTCAATAGCAAAATTATTTGGTCCTACAGATTGCCTGTGAGCCAACTAAACTGCATTCAGCATGGCTGATACAACAAAGCAGAACATTACTCTCCACACAGTCAACAGGTTTAATGACTAGTGAGACGAAAAACTATGTATGCTGGACTGAAAGTGTTTGATAACACTTCCAGGCATACTTATTTAGAGGAATTTTTAAATGTAGTAGACCAGTGGAAACACAGATATTCATCACTAGCTCACAGAATTAAAAAATATGTGAGGGAAAGTCTTGTTTTGGTAAGCCAATAAGAGAAGGACTGATTGCATTGCGGAGTTCTTATGCATTATGCTTATGCTGTTCAGTCTTTCAAAAGCATTGGCTCCCCAGATTATGCTGTTTCATATGCACATAACGTAATTTAAATAATAGTAAATAATAAATAATTTAAATTTAAGTAATTTAAATAAAGATTGCACCAGTATTAACTCCAATACTGTTATCTGTCCTTGATGTTCTTCACTTGACTTACTGGGATTCCAGCTTCTCCTTTTTGTCCAGGTTCGCCTCTTTCACCCTAATGAAGAAACAGCATTCAGATATGTTAGCCATTCCCATATATATTTTAACAACTTTTTTTACAACTCACAGTCATAAATATTTGTCAAGAGAAAAAGCACCACTCTAGCACAGTTCTTCAGGAATACCGCCATCATATGACATTTAATAATTTTTTTTTCTGAAAACCTTTCTAGGAATATGAACACCGTGGGATGTCTGCAGCTTATTGCTCCAGTTTTAGGAGGATGAATGCCAGAGAAATGAGGATAAGTAAACGCATGTTATCCCAGTTCTACCTACCCATTTTATGTGAATGGCCTGATCAGGTGCCATTCAGAAGTGTCTCCTAGGGTCAGATAAAATGTAGACTGAAGTTCACTCACTATATTGACTCCAATCCCACTACAAAGTCTGCCCAGACAAGTAGCTTAGACATTTCTGTTTAGTGTTTATTCATGGAAATTCCAACTTGTGTGTTACTTAATGCAGATTGCAGACAAGGAGTAAGAAAAGTTAAACTAGCTGATGATGAAACTGGACCAAAGAATGATTTTTAAATTTGGAAGAAGGAATTTCTGCTTTAAGAATGACCAAGATCAATTAGTGACTAAAATTGATCACACTTTTTTTTTTTTTTTTTTACCTTTTGATGAAAAGATTAATATAGTGACTAAAGTCTACTGAAAGGATAACTGAAAAAAGCATCAACTGTGAAGATAAGAAATACCCACAAATGCTACCTTTGGCAGGTGCCAGAACTATTGGTACAAGGCAAGGGCATATTTGGATCTTTCAGTGTCATACCAATTTACATCTTATTTTTCTGCTCAAAGGCTATGTGCCATGTGAATTTAAAAAGAACTGGTATGCAGGCTGGTGACTGATATTGAATATGTATACAGGAAGAAGCACTGTATGAGAACAAATTGCATCTTGCTATAGAGGATTTTGCTGAAATTTCTGCCTGTAGAATGAGAAATACCAGTGATCGTCAGTAGTTGTGTACTGGAGGTTACTTAAAAACAACAAGTGCTTTCTTAACTAATTTATCTACCATAGTCTCAATAAATATTTCACAAACCAAGCTATGAGAATGTAGCATATTTCTCTTTTCACATACTAATGTCGTCTAAGCACTGCCTCTAAAAGCACATTTGTACAATAATCTAGTTTTGATAATGCAGAGCTCTTAAATCCCCCTGTATTTTGGCAAGCTATTCCATAGTTACCTTATGCTTGTCGGAGGGGACACCCATCAGTTCCCTTGTAGGAAGCCCAGGTGGACCTGGAGGACCTGGTGGGCCCTGCATGGAAAGCATAAAGGTACATTTACTAACTGTTACAATACTTTGTGAAGTGGTAGATCTGCACAGGGTCTAAGGAACTGGAGCAAAATAAGCAGTGCATATTTGCCTCTGGTAGTAATACTGTTCTAAACCTCTAAATATATTGATGGCAAGAAACAGATTTAGTTTTTGCTGTGATTAACATCTAACAATACTTCCTCCTGCACTGTAGACTTTCAGAATGACTGTAAAGATTGTTGCTTTATTTAAAGTAGCCTTGTTCCATAAATTTCAGAGTGTTACTGTGATTTATGTTGGTATATACAAGGACAGCTAGACACAGACATGTAAAATTGTAATTCAGTTATGACATTCAGTATAGAAATTACCATTACTTTCAAAGCAAATGTATGTTTATTTTTCAATATACTTTTGCAACATAATTACAAACTAAAGAAGTATTTAAAATGGAACCAATTATAAATAACCAAGAACATCAACTTTGTCTATTAGTAGTCATATTAATTCATTAGTTTTCCTTCACCTGTTCTCCTTTTTCTCCATAATAACCAAGGCCTCTGTTGCCCTGCAAAGACAATAGGTCAAGATTTGTTAAATGTACATCTCAATACATGTAAAATTTCAATTTAAACAAGCTTAAAAGATGCTTCAGATTTAGAATTCTTTAGAATATCATTGGAGAAGTGTAATCACATAATAGTCTAGTTATACTTCAAAGTGTTTTTATAGATTTGAAAATATTTTTACAAACACTCAGAAAGAAGGCTCTGATTACAATCTCATGCTAGCGGTGTTTCATATAGCAAGCTTTGAGTCATTCTCTGAGTAGTACAGTAAAAAGATCAAACATTTCTTTTCCAAGTTTTTTAATAGAACTAAACGTTAAATAAAATACTTAAGTAGGTTGGAACAATGAACTCATGTATTTCTTCCGCTGAGATACAATGGAATATTGTGCAGACTGCGAGGATTCTCTGTTCAGAGGAAGCTACTGTGACTACAGTAGCAAATTAAATCTGGCTCCAGAACTGTTTAATCATTTCAGGGTAGGTGATCCCTGTGTGAGATTAACTTCTTGTGGTATGTGGCCAACACAGAAGTTCTTGTGCTCCACAGTCTATGGTGCAGCCTGTGGACCTTTCTTTTGCTGACTTCAGCTGGATCTTGGATCAGACCTCAGGGGCTTAAAATCAACACAAACATAACTTTCACACAAAGACTTACTTGTGGTCCTTGTAGTCCTGGGGGCCCTGGGGGTCCCTAGGGAAACACAATAGGGGACAGAAAGTTACCTGTTACTTAGCAATGAATACATGTAGGAGCTCAGTTACTTTAAGTCTGAAATTTAAATACACTTTTGGAAGGTGATGCATTCCTTAGCATTCAATCTGCTAGGCCTACTAGCTATGTTGTTATGCTGAAAAATACCATCTTAATACAATAACCTTTCCTAACAGCATAAAAGTCCCCAAATAAGACCTAACACAATCCTATTTTCATTTTTTCCATGTCAAGTAATAAAAATTTGTGATTTTGGGTAGTGCTATAGCAAAATTTTAAGTTTATGCTTAAGGCTAAATCATTCTGTAATGAATGAAGGATCGGTAAGTTTATTTTTTTTTGGTGAAGATGATAAGATTACCACCTGCTTCTCAGATTACCTATTCGGTATTTAGCAGTATGAAATCAAAGGAAGTTGTTAGGAAATAAAATGGTAACAGAGAAAAAATACTACCAGACAGTCTTACAGGAAGATCAGTAGGAAAGCTATCGTGGAGTGTCATCTGCCTGCCTGAGTCAGTCAGCTAAGGTGGATGATGGGGTCCAAAGAGCTCTAAACACTAAAAATGCTGCCAAATATCAGAAGGGTGGGGTGACTAAGAAGCAGCAGCTGTTCAGAGAGGAAGATGATGAATAACAACAGTAAGAAAGGAGAGAAAACGGCAGATGGAACCGCTCATTTATGGAGCCCAAAAGGAGATGCAACTCGGTAAAGCAGATCAACAACAACTTGCAAGGAAAAGATAATGTTAAGGTTAAACCAGGCCACTACTGTTTTAAACCTTCTCTACCTGTCTATGTATTTGTGGGCACAAACAACTGACTTTTTTTTTTTTTTAATTCTTTTGAGTCAGGCTTGAACAGTGAAGAAGTCTTTGACACTGCCTGACCTGCAGGGCCAATGCACTCTGTAGATCCGGTAGGGACCTGGTGGAGCCAAGTTTGACTTTGCATCATTCCTCTTCTCTGTGTCCTAGATTGCGCACAAACTCAGACATGGGAAATGCTCCCAGGTCTCACAGGTGAGTCACAGTTTTAGAGCTGTTAAATACAGATGGATTTATTTTGTTAACAGCTGAGAGATCCATCCACTTTGGAAGGGTATTCAAAAAGGATGTTGCAAGAATTGTATCCAGAGAGGCTTAGAAAATGTCATGGCTCACAGTGCTCCATGTATACATCCATGACAGTACATACTTGGAATAAGAGTCACCGCAGACTGGAGGTGCTGTGTGAAGCTCGTGAACGTCATAGCTTCACTTCAGAGAGAGTACAGGTAAAGGGCAAAGAAGATTTTCCATCAGATCAGCCCAGAGGAGGAAGAAAAGCTGCAACTTACCCCAGATGAGAAAGCAGGCACAACAGAAAATGAATGTTGGAAAGACTTAGGATGCTGTGGATCTAGTACTAGAAAATCTGTGCATGAAGGGAAGTTCCCTGCAAATGCCTGTGTAGGCTGTGTGTAAGAAGTCCTGGATTAAAAAAAAATAGATTATGTTTCCAAGAACAGTGACTTGGAGCAGGTCCGAGGTGAGTATTGACAAGACAAAGAGAAAACACCCAATTAAGCTAATGCTGTCTTGGGGCGGCGGGGGGAAGCAAACCTAAAGGAAAATGAAATACCCTGAACTTGAACATTCCCTTTTCACCCATAAAAACATTAACCATATTAATGGGAAGTGTAGGAAATTATATCTGAAGAGAATATAATTTTCCCAAAGAACAATCCAGCAACAGCAGTTAACTCCAACGCTGTAACTGTTGATTTTTGAAAAAAGAAAAGTTACTGAAAGAAAGTTTAAATATTAAATTGTATTCTAAATACTAATGAAAAAGATATCTATTTAATCTTCTGTAGGAAGTATAGAGAGCTAGTATGAATACCCTTTAAGAGCAGAAAACATGCCATGTTTAGCTTATTGTAGAGGAATGTAGATACTTGAATGGACCACCTTCAGTTATCTGTAGAAACTAGACACTTTTCAGGATGCTGAAGAAATAAAGTATAAATGAAGACCCTCAGGCATTACAGGATGAAAGTAAGTATACTTCTTTTTCAATATTCATCTTGTAGAATAAGTGTCCCACACTACTTTTCTCTTTCAAAGTTTTAGTTCCAAGGATACCTACTTGCTATTTCTATTTTTTTCCTAGACATTTGCTAGGTTACAACCCAATATAATGGATCTTGCTAAGACGAGTCTTCTGTCAGGCTAAATTCCTACACAACATATTTCAAACATACTTACTGGTCTTCCTGGCGCTCCTCTTGGACCAACAGGTCCTTGAATACCCAGTGCACCCTGAGGTCCCTTTAAATAGAAAACCATCAATTAATATTGTTCTGACATCAGATATTAGCGGTACTTTCTCACATTAGCTGTAATACTACTTACTTGAAAACCAATGAACCCTGGGTCCCCAGGTTCTCCCTAAAAATAAGAGAAGTGAAAGAACACAGTAAATACTGTAAATAACACTGAGTATTCTTGTTTCTTGAACATTTATTGTTCACTGATTAAATTTTGTTCTCTTTACATCTTACAAACTATTTAAGACAATCATAGCTTATAATGCTATATAAGTTCTTACCTTCAAACTCATCAAATGCCAATTTTGATACAATCTAATGTCTTTTTTATATATACAATTATTGCATGTAACATATTTGGAGAGTAAAAAATTGGCTACGGATCCAATTTACGGATCCAAATTACAAGGATAAAATGGACAACTGGCTCTGTTTAACTGTCTTTTGAAAACCCCATCTAACCAGTAGCTTAATTAGGGATATAATATTAGCTGAAATGCACAAGTTGACTGAGGACATTTTTCATGAGTTGCATGGGAATTACCAAATCATTTTGATTCTCTTCTGAGTCACTGAAAAGCATTTGGAACATACCGTTTTCAGTGACCACATATTTTAACTGCAGGACATGTTGAAATGTTTTTGGAAGTTGGATCCAAAAATGTTCTAGTGCAAAGACCATCCAATACCCATAAATAATGTAGTATTCAGTCCAGACACCTTTAATCATTTTGAATAATAACTAAACTTTTTAAATATCTAGCTAGTTTGAATATATTTAATGAAGTAATTGAACCAAGTGGTACTTGGTGCCATAATTTAGTACCAATATTTTTTGGAATTAATATAGATGTTAGTATCTACGCCATGATCATCATATATTTGTGCACTTTCATAATCCTTACAAATTATTAGCAAGTTATCACAATTTAAAGGGCCGTGGAAAGGAAAAAAAAGCATTACAAATACAGACTATCTATAAATATGTCAAATATAAACTGATTCTGGCATTTATCACTGGCATCAAATATTCAAAAAAGATGTCAGCGGATCTGTGCTGAAAACAGCTCTGAGGCAGTTTAAAATGCAGGCTGCACTTTATATAAGTTTATATAAGTTTACATAAGTTTATATAATTCACAAAGATGATATATACTCTACTAATATATGTAACCCACTATCACCTGGTACTTTCACAATACACAAAATCATACAAATGGCAAAAAGTTACAATACAAGTTTTAAATGATTGGATACAGCAAAAGCATCCATACTTGGGGGTTAGATAACTAAATTATGTATTGAAGCATACTTGATCATAACTCAAAAAAAACTGTAAGAAAATTATACAGAAAGGACAGTAACGTTAAATAAAATCATTCAATGAACAAAACTATGAATGTCTCTGCCGTAAATGATGCAAAGATCACCACTGAACAAAAAGAGCAATATTTGAACTACAACATTTGCATCTCTTTTTTAAAAATACAAAACTATAATCTTATAAAAAATCAGTTTTTGGATTTCTCCACTGTTTCTGCAATTTGTAAGGAATTTGGAATTCCTTACAAATATGTGAGTGGGCATCTTTTCTGTGGAAATCAGATAGACTTTACTGACATGAGAGAAGGTAGCAGTTGCCATAAAAAACCTACAAAAAATCCAGGTGAGCCTCTTGGTGCAGGGCTTTATGAATGTAAAAAAAATTAACTTGATACCATCTATTTTTAAAACAGCAGTGGTATGGATTTAGAACATACTAGTGCACAAGAAATGTACAAGCATATATATATATATGAGGTACATACGTACTGTATTGGCTGGCTATGTCCGGTGGCAGTATATAGGGCTCCCCCTTTTGGCCCTTTGGTCCTTGAATTCCCTAAATTGGCACAACCGAAGGAAAAAAAGAAAGGTAAGCAGTCATCTCATCTGTGAGCACATACACAGGGAGAATAATGAAAAACATTCATTGGCTTTTTCATGATTATATACAGAGCACTGTTTAAGTGCAGAGACTATGGCATAAACACAAAGCACTAATTCTCATGGCTACATAAAAGAACAAATTCCCGGTAAGGGGCAGGAGCTTCTCATTACATGGGGGAGATATGGGATAGTCCAGTCTTACAGCGGAACAGTAGCTGAGGTTACTCAGGATTGGATATGTGACCTGGAAGATGCAGGAGCTGGACCCACACTTCATCTCAACATGACCCTCCACAACTGCTCCAGAGAAAGGCAGCAATTTTTCTGGCAGAGCTAACTCAACAACAACAAATACATCTGAGTAATAAAAGGTTATGAGCTTGTCATTCTTTTATCATTGCTGGACAGAGATGTACAGGTTTCCCTGAAGGAATCTTCTTGCAGAACCTGTAGGATAGGTATAGCTTCTTGCCCTGACTTCAATTTAATAACTAATCATTATGCTTTACTTCTATGGTAGGGTCACAAGGATGCTATGCTATGCTGAAAGGCATGTCCACTTAAGAGCTCTCCCAATTGATTTCTAACATGTACCTGAAAAAAAAATGTTACCAAAATAATGATCTTAGCTGCAGGTGTTCATATACTGCCAGCTACTTACAATGGTGCCAGGGAAACCAGCAAGTCCTGGAATTCCTGAGTCACCAGGGTCACCTGTTGTCCCGTTACAGCCATCATGACCTGGTTTCCCCCTTGATCCTGGCTGCCCTGGATGACCCTGTAGAGAAAAAATAAAAGTGTTTATCTATCCATCTGTTTCTAGTTTTCCTTTTCCTGCAGTCACACAGTATTTAGACATTCTCACATTAAGCCCAAGGCTTGGATCCATGGGAAACGATTTTCAAAGAAAGAAACAGACAGTGTCTTTTTTTAATATAGCTGCAGCTTGAACCAGATGCCCCAGACAGTATGAAAAAAATGAGCAGTGAAGGACCTTTCAGAAAGGGTAAGAAAGCTATGTTCAATGAATTCTCTGTTAAGCAGAGAACTAAACCAGATGAGGCTCTTGAACAGCGAGTTACCAAGAACAGGGATTGTCAAGAATTATATCACGTTCAGCACATTATACTGGAAAAGTATGAAGAAAAGCTCCTTATTGGCTATGTGCAAGCTAGTAAAAATGTTAGTGATGCTTCTGGAGCATTTGACTGAGTGTCAGGATGAGGCTGTACATGCAGACACAGGCAGAAAGCAGTGGAGCTTAAACCAAGGGAATAGGGGACACTGCTCAAGTTCCCCACTGAGCAGCTGAGGTATAGGAAGGGAAAGGAAAGCTACTCCTATCTTAAACTGGATTTCCATTGCTTCAACTACATTCATCTTACTGCAGTTACTTCTGGCTGCCCTAGGGCCTATATCAGAAGAAAATCTGACTTCAAGTAGCTCTTTCTTCCAGAGAACTCAGTCAGAAAAAAAACCTAACATAAATAGAATATGTCTCCTTTCTTCATTCATGTTTTTATTTTGTTTCTTCTCCTTCACTTAGAAGAAAAAGAGTATTTCCATGCTTCTACCTAGGTCCATCTACTACTGCCATTCTTCACTCCAGAACAGGTTCAAGCTTGCCTACATCCTATTTTGGCCTCCAGTCCCAGTACTTTGCCATTATGGATCCTACTTGCTTGTGCCTATTTGCCTTCAGATTTACTTCTTGGCCTGATAAAACTGGTTGGGGAACATAACTGAGTGGGAAGGCCAGGGGAACACGAAGGCAGACCACAACAAACATGTAGGTTGGAGCAATATCTTAAGGTAATCTATTCCTCCCAATGCAATGTGCAGAGATCCTGAAGGCTGTGCTGAAAAACTTTTTCAGGTGAGACAGGCAGGTAGTAAATCACTGCCCTCCTTTACAAGGGAGTGATTTACTATCCTCCTCAGGAAGTTACAGCTCTTAAAAAAAAAAAACCCTCAATATGATATGTTGAGATGAACAAGATCCTTGGCTACAGGATATTTAATAAGATTGGCAAAGGGTCTTCTACTTTTCCTTTAAGAGAGACAGAGAGAGAGAGAGAGAGAGAGAGAGAGAGGGAGAGAGAGAGGGAAAGGAGGAAGAGTATGAGAGAAGCCCTGAAACTTGATATCGAGCTTTTCTGGAAACAAAAAAAGGGTGAAAGGAGAGTGGATGTGGATGTGTGGGTTGCAGAGTGAGGCCCCTGTGTCAGAGAGCACAACAAAGGAAACCCAAGCCTGGGAAATCTGTGCAGGGATTCCAGTGACTCAGATTTCTTTGTTATTTTATGACACAAGAAGTAAAGAAGTGTAAGCTGGGAAAATACCGCACTGTGAACTTAACCCAGTTTTCCTCTTTGAATACTTCAGTTTAATGGACTTGGACAATTAGTTCAAAGTTTGACACTACTCAGTGCTTAGTAAGTTTTTTAAGACTATCATCTCATTCATGCCGTATGAGCTATAAAACAAATTACAATGGTTTGTAGTCTTACAATTGTTGATTTTTTTCTCAGTGCTTTACAAATCAAATAATTAATAATTAATGACCCATGGGTGTCCTTTGCTCACATGTCTAAGTGATGTGAAGTACTTATCTCACATTTCTCTCTTGCGAAAGAACACAGTTAGCTGGATAACATCCGGGGACATTGGAAACTTACTTCCTCTTTTGTTCCTTTTCATAGATTTCTCACTGGATCAAAGCAAATGGACCTTAAATATCTGAGGAATATTCTATTCCTTTGCTATATGTCTGCAGCTGCACTTACTTTAAGAAATGGCATTAGCTTAGAAGTGTATATATGGCAGAGGTAGAAGTTAGCTTAAAGTATTTCATTAAAGTACAAAAGCGTTAAACCAGTCTAAAATATTTGCAGATGGTGATTTCTAAAACATGAAGTAATTGGCTACTTACAGGAACGCCATCTGCCCCAGGGAATCCGGTCACTCCTCTTTGCCCCTAGAGTAAAGCAGCACAATTAAAATGAAGTTCCTCCCAGTATTTATTAATTAGCTGAAACATCTGATAATCAGAACTTACCACTTCGCCTTTGGGTCCACTTATTCCTGGAGGTCCTCTTTCACCTTTGTGACCTTTGGGACCTTGCACTCCTGGGATCCCCATCAATCCTGGTGGTCCAGTGAACCCCTGCGATCCAAGGAGTCCTGGCTGGCCCTGATAAAAGTAATAAAAAAGCATTTATCTAGGAACAGTTGTAGTGCATGAAGCTGGATTAGTTATCACCACTGCAGCGGAGTCAATCTCTTGAAGAGAAAATAAACAAAGAATTTCGCTCTTGCAGGCCAGGCTCTTTGATGACCATCATCTGGAAACACCATGCAGAGAAGCTCTCACAGAGAAGTGACTGCATTGTGCCTGCCAAAATCAATACATGGAAAATAAGACACAAATCAACAAAAAAAACCTTCTTACTTGTATATTCCCTGTTACTCTATAGAAGAAAGTCATTATCTGTATTAAGGAGAATTGGCTGCTCAAGAGTGATACTCATTAATCTACAACATAACCAAATACAGTATCTTGCAAACAATTAACAGCATATTTAATTGTGAAATCTGCTTAGTGGATATGTTTCTTACAAATGTAGACATATATTTAGTAGGAAGACTTTCTGCTTCTGTGAGATGATATTTCTGTTTAATCATGGAACTTGTTGAGTAGACATGCAGGCTATGAGTGTATGGCTTCCATATATGTTGAGGAGTTGCACTCCGGGCTCCCCCATCAATAAAGTTCCCTCCCAGTGTTGGTTCAGTAAAACAGCACTAACTGACTCTCTTTAGGCCACTTCAAACATTGCTTAAAAATAATCCTCTATTGACTGGCAAAATCACAAGGCTCAACAGTGAAAACCATTTTGAAATGACACAGTGGTGGTTTTAAGTAACAGGGTTGTGACAGTATGTCTGAGAGTGGTGAACCAAAGCATTTGAAAACCATTCCAAATGGAGTGTCACCAATGGCACATATGTTTTAAATGATCTAAAATACTCAGTGCACTAATGCCACTTTAATAATATATTGTGGCAATGTTCTCTTGAGAAATATGCTTGAGCAGTGTAATACACCATTCACCAAGACACACTAATTGCAGATTCTAATGAAGATATTTTAAAAATGTAATTAGATTTTTCGAAGACCATCCTACGATCATATCAATATCTTACAAAGAATTACAGCAAAACATGTACAATGTTTGTACATCAAATATACAAACAAGCTAATAAAATAATAACATTTTATTTTAGCATAAAATACATACCCTATTCCACCTACAACAGCTTATTTCCTTTTCCATGCTCTTTCATGCCTGGAAAAGAGCTTGTAAACCCTGCCCAAGTAGGATACTCTTTTAACTTCATTTAATGTCACTGAAACGGGGAGAATGAAGGAGGGCAGAGTGGGAACACAAAGTCTCAAAATATCCTAGTTCCCTTGAATTCAGAAAGTAGTAGTTAAGATACAGAATAATATCTTATTGAATTTTAGACAAACTTTGCTTTATTCTTGTATTAAGGGATAAGTCCACTTGTGACACACTTCCAATATATCATTGTCAACCAGCTATTTACAATGAAAAGCCATCTGTTGCAGCTCTGTACAAAAATACTCTAGCTGTTTGTGTGACAACCCCCCAAATAAACACTGTAACTGAAACATATCATAATTCTGTTTTTTTTTAAAAAAATCCATATACCTTTTCTGAGAAATTGACAGTAATGTGTATGAATAGGTGTTTATATTTTAAAAAACTATTACTTCAAACGAAGCCATATATTGAGAAGCTTACATAAAACTCAGCGCAATTTTTACTTTGGAATGAGCTGCAATTAATGTAGACTGAATTGCATTAAATTCCTAAGGGAGTAGCAGCCAGTATTGACACTTTATTTGCTATACTCTTAGGATTAATCTGACAGAACTGAATACTTAGGAGCATGGCTAAGGGACACAATGAATTCAACTACTTGAGCTGTCAGAGTGAAACAGAATCTGCCCTATGCTTACAATCAATCCCAATTTTATATTACTTCTATAGTAAGCCTGTAAGGGTCATGGAAAATATTAGGTTTTAGAAAGGCAAATTCTTTTCATTTTCTATGTTATCAAATTGATAACAAACAAAGGTCATTTGAAAAGATATAAAATACAATATGATTCCTGTTGGCAAGGAGGCATACATATCTGAATGAGTGAACTTTCAATCCCATTTTCCAATCTGGTATGGAAGAAGGAGTAAACAAGGAAAGGAAAAACATGAAGAGAGCCACTGGCCCTTCCCCATGCTTTCCTGGTAGCTGTCAGAATATTTGTTTACTGAAAAATAAGGGTATCCTTGGATGAAGTATTCTATGTTATATTTGCAATAAAGACAATATAGTTGGTCCTTCTGGGACCGGTTGATCAGAAGGCTCGTGTTAAAGAAGTATTTAATAACATGACAATATCTGTGTGATTCTTTAGCCAGTAAGCAACTCAGCTTGTTAGCTGCATTAACTTTGTTAACCTCACACGTGTCAGCTTTTTATCTACTGTCTGTATGTTAGATCATCTTTTGAACAAGTTGACCCTTGTTCATTAGCAGATGACCTAAGAACATTGGCTCTTTTACAAGGGTCACTAAATTCCCCTTTGTGATACATGTGCATGGTACTGCTCTGATTATGCTCCTGGAGGTTCTGAGATCCTAGAGAAGTCTCCAAAATGCTGATGTCCTCTCCAGATAAAATTTTCAGGCCAAAAAACTCAGCAAACCCAAGGAAATATACTACCCCTATGTACCATATTTTAAACTACTCACAATGTACTTTCTCTGATGCTTGTTTTTTTCTTAAATAAAAAACAGAGTAAGGCAAAAATGTGTCATTGCCAATCCTGTTCGCTAGTAGAAAGTTTGAAATTTCACTTGAGTGACTTGGGACTTTTTCAAAACCCAGACTATGCAGTCCTCATCAAGAGTACTTTTACAGGGCAATGTGAAGAGCCTTAGAGAAGAGTACGTGGTGTATTATTTGCCAATCATCTTGTGAGGAGCATGTGGAAAGAAAAGGAAGAAGTGGGTCAACGGAATATGTTGGAGACTGTCAAGGAGTTACCTTCCTCTTCACCCTTATATCAATCTTCTATTAAGACGTAATTTATTTATGGTGTAATGTTCAGATGAATTACAAAGCTATCAAGGTCAGTATACACTCCATAATAGATGGTCCCTATTACGCCCTTCCAATGACCAACTGGAAAAGGTCACTGGCCAGCACAGCCATGTGCAAGAATCTATTTACAGAAAAGCAAAGCTCAGAAACTTAGGAAGCTTGGAGGAAATCTTACCAGAAAATGTTTGCAAACTTGTATATACATCGGTGCTTGTCCAATGAGGAACATGAAAGAAAATGCTATTATGGTTGTGAATTAATTTAATAACTCTATTTTGTGATTAAGTCCTAGTAGATGTATGAAGCTCCTGAACAGGCTTCTAAATCTACACTGAATATTCTGGAATTATAAATTCCAGCTCTTTTAGGACCAGTCAAATAACAGATATCATGCTGTAATCATTTCTTCTTTCTAAATCACTTATCAAGTTTGACCTTGGAAGCATAACTGGTAGAGAAAGTTGGGCTAATGTGGAGAACAATCATTCAATTTGTTACATAAATATAGCGTAAACGAAAGCTCCTGCTACAAAGAGGTTCAAAACCAAAGACATCCTTATGAATTGCCAAGAAATGCTGATGTGTATGTATGGAGAAGGGAGAAAATTAATGATTTGGAATAATGCGGAGGTAGAATCAGACTTACTGATTCACTTTAGCAGAACCCATTTTACCATATCCCATTATAGACTTTTATTTTGCAACTACTTCTGGTACATGGAATGTGATGATTCAGTATTCCCCAACTGGAAATGACCCTTGTAGGTCATAATTTATTTAGTGGTGGACATGTAGAAAAGAGGTCAGCTCCCTGACATTTTAAAAAAGGTCATTTCTGAAAGAATCAGTTCACTTCCTGTGGCAATGGTGATCTGTGTGATAGACAAGTGGGAGTGAAATTTTTTGTAAGAGAAATGGATCTGGAACGGTTATTGCAAGAATAGATGGGAAAAGGAAGTGATTGCAAGAACATAGATCTAATCCCACAAGTGGAATACAGAAAGCAAGCAGAACAGAAAACAACTCTCCAGGGATGGGAATAAAATGGCTTCTAAGGAAAACAGGCAACTTCTGAGCTGATTAAAGGGCTAATCCAGGAAAAGGAATCCCAGAAGATGCATAGGAAAGAAACTGAGAACTTTTAAAGGTAGTGTCTGATAAAACGAGGAGAAACTTGCTAACCTGACCTGATGCCAGTAGGTGAACTAGCTCACTGTAGGTGAGCTAATTTATTGAGAGTCAGAGTGCTCCCCTCTGTGCCCCTTACGATGCGCAGTACAAGACAGACCTCAAGAGAGGGCATCGGACAACACTAGGGGCCATCTACAGAACCAATTCCAAGACAGGTTTAAGATCCATACGGTCTGTAACATCTACAGAGTTGTTTTTGCATGATACCTCCATGGCATGTATATATGGGCAGCCTTCCTTTCCTGACAGCCTAAAACTACATTTTTCATTTACACACCCTTTTCTGTGTTTACTGCAATAAACCAAGTTCACAAGCACCTTGCTTTCAAGGCAGTGCTCCTCTGGGCACAATATCAGCCTCCCATGAGTACAATATTTACCTTGATGCAGAAGAAGTTGGTAAATTTCTACTCCACAGAGTCATAAGTGGATTTACACTTCACGTTGGTAATTTAGTCAGAATGGTTCCATATGTTTCAAGCTGTGTTTCCGCAAGACATAGATAATATTGTGCAATTCTAATGGGGAAAACTAGGTCAAAAACAAACCACAATAAGCTCACGAAATTCAGCTGAATAGCAGAAAATGTAAATACACAAGGCAAAATATACTGAACACCAATGCTATCTACTGAAAAGAAAGTTTATTAGGGAGGAAAAAAAGCTTGAAGTTTGTGCTGATTTGTTTTTTAAACATCTTAGTGCTTCTTTTTTATTTCTCTGTCTTCAGGGCAGCAGCAATGATTATTTTCTAAAAGACCGACCCTGATCTGAAGTATGTTAGCACAGGAGAGTGGATTCAGAAGCTCCT